CGCCTCCATCCTTGCTCTTCAACACCCCTGGAAGCTGTTTTCCTTGCCCTCTGCCTGGCTGCCCTCTGGGCAAGGCACCTCTTCTCCCTCCACGACTCCCGCTGCCCTGCTGGGCTAGGAATGTGGGAGAGGAGTGGGAGCTGATCTGGCCTCATCTGCTTTGGGTCCTGGGGAAGCCCCAACGGGTTGAGCCATAGGCCTGATTCATCCACCAAATATTTCTCCCGAGTAGCCCAAGGGATTGGCCGGCTTTCCTGACCCAGGGCAGGTCCATTTTCAAGTAATGTAAACAGGAGCAGCCTGAGTCCCAGGTTAGTGGTTCTCGAGCGTTGCCATGCATCGGAATCAACTTGGGGGCTTGTTTAAAAAGGTTACTAGGCCTACCCCCAGAGTTTGATTCAGGTCTGAGGTAGAGACTGAAAACTGCCTTTCTAACAAGTTTTAGGGTGCTGTTGAAGATCTGGGACCCGGCTGCCCATCACTGAAGGTTCTGAGCTGCTCTCAGGAAGTGTTTTGAATAGTGCCACCTAGTGGCAGGGAGCAGCCCAGCAGCCCAGCTGTATGAGCTACTACATCAAAATTTCCCCCCTACTGGATGAGGAAAGCTGTGTGCTGACCCATTTCTCCTCCAAAAGAGACCTGTGTGGTGCTTAGAACCCAGGAAGTTGTGGGTGGAGGGAGACAGTTCATGGGAATGCTCAAAGATCCCAGGTTTTAGAGGCCGGTAGCCCTTGCTCATATCTGCCACTTCCTGCCTGTGGTAATTTGTGAGGAATCCACCTATTGGATTGTGAGCATTTCTGTGAAATGAAGCGTGCACTGCCCCTGGGACACTGCCCAGTATGTAAGAGACAGCTAGTGGAGCTGTTGGTAAGGGAAGAGGCAGTGGCAGTAGTAATGATAGTAGCTACCACCTCGGCAAGGCTCACTGAGCCCTGGTCTAGGGCCAGGCGCTTGCTCAACAATTTGTGTGGACTCTGTCACCCCATCCTCCTCCAGCTCTGAGGTAGGAGCCTGGCGCTAGGCTGGAATGGTTGCCATTCCAGCTGTCTCTAGTCACCAGGGTGGTCACACTCTTCTCATCCCTCTCTCCCCACTTCTGGTCTGACTTCTCCTCCTCCCTGCCTGGGGCAGACAACACGGAGTAGGGCCTTGGAGCCAGAGTTGGAGATGGGATTTGGGCTTGGCCACGCACCCTTCACACTCAGGGACCATATCTCTTGTTTTCTCCCCAGGCCTATGAGCGGCAGGTCCCACCCCGAGCTGTCATCAACAGTGCAGGCTACAAAATCCTCACCTCCGTGGACCAGTACCTAGAGCTTGTTGGCAACTCATTACCAGGTAAATAGGCCCCTCCAAACCCCAGCCACGCTGCCCTGCACAGGCTTCAGGAGTTGGCCAGGGGAGGGGGTGGCCCTGAGACGCTTACTCCAGGCTCCACATCTTCAGAGAGGCCAGTTGGGCCTAGAGCTGCCCTCAGAGGCCAACCGCAGCGGAGCCTGCAAAGGAGAAGCCTGGTAGGCCTGAGGGGTGTTCCCTGAGGCCACAGGGGGATGGACCTGGACCATTGTGGGCCCCCACCTGAGTCCTGCCGTGCCTGAGCCCTGTGCTTCTCAGCTGAGGAGTGGGGGTCTTGCTCTCTGCCCTTCCCAAGGACCCCTTGAGTCCTTGAGAGTCTCCAGGGAGAAGACGAGTGCCACCCTGCCTTGTAAACCGTCACCTCAGTGCTGTATGTGAGGGGCGCTGTGCCCGGGAGTCCACGAAGGCTCATGTGAACATCACCTGCTGTTCAGACCTCCCCGGGCACCAAGGGGCTGGGGGACACATTGTGCCCCCAGCTGGGATTTGGGACTAGTGCCCCCATGGTGGTTGAGACTTGGCAGGAGTCTAGTTCCTGGACACCAGGCCTGACCCTGGCTGCTGGCTGGATCGGCACAGGCGGCCACCTCCCGACTCCAACCATCAGCTCCCTCAATCTCTATGAAATAGGGTGCTGAGAGGACGGATCTTAGGGTGTGGCACCTTGAGCAGTGCTGTGTATACCAGGCCCAGGCCCACCCAGAGCCAGGGCCACAGAACTGTTATTGTCATATTAACCACAGGGGCGGGCCACAGCCCAGGGCCAGTGATCTCCTGGATCTCAAATATCCACGTGGATCAGAAGAGAAGAATTCCTTTTTATTTATTCTGTTCCCCGCCCTGCGGCCTCCCTCCCCACTGGGACATTTAAACTACACCTTGGCCTCTGGAGCTGAAATTTGAAGGGAAATCCAAGAAGATAATGCTTGGCCTTGAACCTGAGGGCTCTGACCTGTTCACACAGAATTTAGAACCTTACCCGAGAGGGAGGCAGATGCACTTTACCTCCACTACCCTGATTCATTTAGCTGGGCTGTGGAGGACAGAAAGTGGGCTGCTGCCTCCCCACTGACCTGCTGTCCTGTGACCCTGGGAAACTGCAGAGGGCATCTGCTTAGCAGGTTCTGTCTCCACAGGCACCACTTCGAAATCGGGCAATGCCCCCATCCTCAAGTGTCCCACACAGTTCCCACTCATCCTCTGGCATCCTTATGCACGTCACTACTACTTCTGCATGATGACAGAAGCTGAGCAGGACAAGTGGCAGGCTGTGATGCAGGACTGTGTCCGGCACTGCAACAATGGTGAGATGGGCAGTCCTTGTTTATGTACTGAGTGGCGACACCTGGTGGCTGAGTGAGGTGTGGCATCCCAGCTCTATGTGCCATCCCAATTTTCCTTCTGGGACTGTAAGAAAATGTTTTGATTATTGCTCTTCATCTTCCTTGATGAAAACACTTCTGTGGGGGACATGAAAAAAAATTAGGAGATTGTTCATACAGGTGTGATTGCTGAGTCCTCAGACCCTGAATCACAAAATCACATCCTGATTCTACCACTTTCTAGCAATGTGACCTTAGGCAAATGATTTCCCTCTTGGATCCTCTATAAAATGGAAGTGATAATCCCTCATGTGTCTTAGGGGGTTTGTAGGGATTCACAGTGAGAGTCCACCCTGCTTGGTTAAGATTGTTCTTATTACATCATCTCCCTCCTGACCACCAACAGGCAAGGTGATCCGGGCACACCATTTCCTCCCTGTCTGTAAACTTGTGTGGGAACCCTTCCAGCTCATTTATTGACACTTGTGTCTACTCTGAGGATGCAGCAAGGGAGCGAGGCGTGTTGCCTGGTGTTGTGTTCCTGCTGACTGTCTGGAGGGGGAGACAGATGTTAAACAGATGAGCCACCAGGGTGATGAGTCAGCTGTGTTGGGTGCTGGGGGTGGGGGGAGTCAGTCAGGGCAGCCTCCATCGTGGCAATGATGGCTGAGACTGAATAGTCACAGGGTTGGAGGGGCAGCATGGAGGGAGACAGAGCAGGAGCTGAACAGAGGAGGAACTCCCAGGCCCTGAACCTGGGGGAATCTGAAGTGGACTGAAGTAGGCGCTCTGGGTTCAAGTCTGGAAGGGCCTTGTAGGGCTCTTGTTGTGAGTGTGTGAGAGTGTGTGTGTGTGTGTGTGTGTGTGTGTTAGTACCAGGGATTGAATCGAGGGGCACTTTACTGAGTCCTAGTCCTTTATATCTTTTATTTTGAGACAGGGTCTCCCTAAGTTGCCCAGCCTGGCCTTGGGCAACTTGCCACCCTCCTGCTTCAGCCTCCTGAGTGGCTGGGATTGTAGGCCTCTACCACTGCTCCTGGCTGGCCTTATAGGGCTCAAAAGAATTAAATCAAAAAGGTTCCCCGGTACCAAGAAAGTCTAGGATTGTCTCTCATGGTGGGGTGGGGGGCCAAGTGCCTCTGTGGGAGGAACCCTGTCCTGGACCCTGAACTTCTTCCTGGTGATCTTGCCCCAGGAGAGCAGAAGGAGAATGCTGCGCTTCCCCTGCCCTGGCCACAGCTCTGTGCCCTGGGAAGGGACTGTGTGGGCCCCTGGGTGGAACCCAGCACACCCACCCCCTTCAGAACCGCCTCTGCCCCGCCTGGATGCAGCCAGGCCAACTCCTGCCACCTGGGCTGGGCCCTGCCCTGCTGCCACAAAGGGCCTCCTGTTCCTAGGTCCCCGGGGCCGTGGCTCTGGCCCAGACTCTGGCTGCCTGGCCTGGGACAGCCTCCCCCTCCCCCAGCCCTGGGCCAGCGCTGTCCTCTCCAGGGCTGTTGGCTGACCTAGTCTGTTTGGGTGGGTGACCCCAGGCCACGTGGTGGAAGGGGTAGGGACCCAACATGGGGGGAGAGCCACCATTCAGTCCCCAGGTGTACAGTAGGGGTGATAAGGCTCAGGGGAGAGTGGGTGAGCTGGTTCTGGCAGGGAGCACTCAGCCGGAGGCCTGCAGAGCCCCATGGGCCTGGCATGCCTTGGGCAGGAGGGGGGCCAGGGAAGGAGGGGCAGCCTGAGGAAGGGTGGCCTGGCTGGGCTGGCCCCTCACCCCAGGGCGAGAGCTGCAAGGCAGGTTCCAGACACGGTTCTTTGCTCCACCCTGAGGACTGTGAGAAAGTTCTCTGCTTCTTCCCTCGTGGAGGCTGGGCCTGGAATTTGTGGAGTCTGGAACTGCTGGCTCCTGGGGCTGCCAGGAAGTGGGGGGTGGGTGGGGAAGTAGGCCAAGCTGGGTGGCCGCCAGCTCGTCCTAGGGCCCCCCTCACATCCTGCATTCCTGGAGCAGCAGGGGTGGGGGTGGGGGTGGCAGGAGGCGCTGGGGCATGGCTGTGCAGTCCTGTGTGAGCCCCGAGTGCAGAGGTCAGGCCTCTTCCTGTCTGAGGTCTCCCTCCTGCTCCTCCTGCTGCCCAGGGCTGAGGAATGCAGTTTCCCTTCTCCAGAGGCTTCTGGTTCCGCCCTCTCCAGCGGGTGGTGGGTTCTGCCTTCCCTGTGTGCCTGAGGCAGTCTTGGTGACTTCCCTCTGGGTGAGGACAGCGTCCCACTGGTTCTGAGGGTCGATGAGCTGGTGTGCTGGTGTCCCCCCCCCCCTGGGCCTGGTCTCTTACTTTCCCAGGGTTGCCATAACCAAATGGCCAAGACGGGGCTGGCGTGGAAATGCCATTTTCTCCCAGCTCTGGGTCAGGGTGTCAGCGGAGTTGTCCCTCTGGGCACATATTTTTTGGTTTTGTTTTGTTTTTCGTGTATTTCTGCTGGGTCCCGGGGCTTGGCATACACCAGGCGAGCGCTCTGCCACTGAGCTGCGCCCCCGCCCCTTTTAGTTTATTTTGAGACAGGGTCTCACCAAGTTGCCGAGGCTGGCCCTAAGCTCCTGGGCTCACGTGATTTTCCTGCCTCAGTCTCCCAAGTAGCTGGGACGGTGACAGGCACACACCACTGTGCCAAGCCCTGGTTTTCTTGTTTTAAGCAACTTCCTCTTGTTAAGGATCAGCCTTTGGGTGGGGTCTCGCCCTAATCCTCCAATTTAGCCTCTCTGTAGGGTCCTGTGTCCCACACAGGGCTCTGAGGCCCTGAGGGCTAGGGCTTCAACATGTGATCTTGTTTGGGGGACACACAGGAAGAGCCCAGGAGAGGTGACCTCCAAGCTTGTCAAACTCGGGTGCGGGCTGTGTGGAACAGAGGGAGTGCCCAGAGTCAGCGGCTCCCGTTTGGTGGCCAGGGCCTGGGGGCCTCACCCAGCCTCCCTCCTGCTCCCTGCCCCTCCTCACCCTTTCCCCCCTGGGAAGCCACCCAGCAGGACCTCACGCAGCGACCTCATGTGGAGAGGCTGCTGTGCACTGCCGGGTTTTCCAGGCAAAGCCAGTCTCTAGGGTGCAGCCCCTACCCCTGGGGGCCAGCTGGAACACCCCCCCTGCTCCCAGCATGCCCTCCTGATGGGGGAGGGGCTGGGCCTGGGTTTCCTGGTGCCCAGCTTCGCCAGCTGCACCCCTGGGTCCCGAGGCTGGTCCCGAGGTGTGGGCAGAGCAGGGGTCCTCCCCACAGCAGAGCGGGGCTTTTTCTCTGCGGGGGTGACTAACCCTGTAGTCACTGCCGTGGGCACTGGGTTCTGAGCCAGAGGCTGCCTTTTCCCCTTCTCTGGGCTCTGGGGACATTGTGGTCAAAGGCACGTGGCCAGGGGAGACCGCCCTGCGTGGCTCTGTGCGTTCTAACCACGTTCGTCCTCGGTCAGATTCTGTAACTTCCTGCTGCCAGGCTTCCCCACAGACAGCGGTGTCCTGTGGAGGCCCCGACCGGCCCCTCGGCCCTCACAGCTTGAGCCTGTCCCCACACTGACCCAGGGAGTCCCCAGTGGGTCTGTGAGGCCAGGTCAGGGTCATCGTTCCCATTGTTCAGAAGAGGAAACCGAGGCCCCTCTGGGTTGGGTGGCCTAGAGCGAGCCTCAGCCAGCCACTTGTCTGTCTGTCTGTCAGCTGTTGGCCCGGCTCGTCGGTGGCCGCCCTCATGTTGGGCCACAGGGTCGAGTATGTGGGACGGGTTGTGTGGCCTGCCCAGCTGCAACTGTCCACTATCCAGGGCCGCGGGGGAGGGACAAGGGCACGTGGCCACAGACCCTGGAGCCGCTCTGGGTGGCTCCCTGGGAGAGGGTGGCTCCTGGTCCTGCCCCTCCTGTCCTGGTGATGCTGAGCCGGCGGCGTGACCTCGGAGCCAGCCCGACTTTTCCTGTGACATAGACCTAGTGGCAGTGCCCAGGTCCGGGGCCTTGGGGATGAGGGCACAGGGGCACCACCGGGCTGCTTGTCCTGTCACGACAGCTGCTGCCAGGGTGTCACGTGTCCCTCATGACACGCATGCCATGTTGGGGGGGTCTGGTCAGTCAGCTGGTCCTGGTGGAGACCACTGGTGACCTCTGTCCTCCTCTCTGGGCAGGGATCCCGGAGGACTCCAAGGTGGAGGGCCCTGCGTTCACGGATGCCATCCGCATGTACCGCCAGTCGAAGGAGCTGTATGGCACCTGGGAGATGCTGTGTGGGAACGAGGTGCAGGTGAGGACAGAGGCCTGTGGAAGTCACCCTGGGCCAGGAGGGTGGGGCTGGAGCAGAGAGGGGGGTTCTGGGGACTGTAGGTTTGGAAAGAGACGCAGCTCAGAGTTGGACAAGTGGGGGCCGGTGAAGTGGGGGTATTGTTTTATTTTTTTGAGACAGATTCTCACAAGTTGCCCTGGCTGGCCTTGAACTCTCAATTCTCCTGCCTCAGCCTCCCAAATAGCTGGGATTACAGGTGTGTGCCACCGCGCCTGGCTGTGATACTTGTTATCTACTGATCACCTCCGTGGACCTGGTGTTGGGGTGCAGCTGTGAGCAGGAAGGATGCAGCCCCAGCCCTCGGGAGAAACTGGCATTCCACACACCCACGCACACACTTGCATGTTCAGGCAAAAGGGGAAGGGAGAGCAGTATTCAAGGTGGGGAGCAGCATGTGCAAAGGCCCGGAGGTGGAACCCCTGATCCTGAGGACCCTGCAGGGCACCCTGCAGGCAGGTCCATCCAGTGGGGACGATGCTCAGGAGCAAGGGCAGTTGGTGGCATGGAGCAAAGCCAAGCCAGAGGCAGGGGCTGGAGTGGCCGAGAGGAAGCTGTGGCTGGGTGCTCCAGCCCTGCCCCGCCTTCTGCCTCTTGGTCCCAGATCCTGAGCAACCTGGTAATGGAGGAGCTGGGCCCCGAGCTGAAGGCAGAGCTCTCCCCGCGGCTGAGGGGAAAGCCCCAGGAGCGGCAGCGGCAGTGGATCCAGGTGGGTGGCCGTGACCCTGAGGTGGGGTGGGACAACAGCTGGCCTGTGCCCTGGCCGGCGCTGACGCCCCCTGTGCCACAGATCTCCGACGCCGTGTACCGCATGGTGTACGAGCAGGCGGAGGCGCGCTTCCAGGGCGTGCTGTCCAAGCTGCAGCTGGCCCGGCCGGCCATGGAGGCCGTCATCCGCACCGACATGGACCAGATCATCACCTCCAAGGAGCACCTGGCCAGCAAGATCCGAGGTGGGCAGCCGGCCGTGCCGCGGCCACAGCCCGAAGGTGCTTGACCTCAGGCCTCCCCCTCTGACCACAGCTTCCTTCCTGCTGCATGATCCTTGTGTGGCTGGAGGATCCTCTGTGGCCCCTCCAGTCCCTCCAAGTCGTCATTTGGGGCAGTTATTTCTGTGAACCCAGGTCCTGAGGCCGAGAGTTTTTTGGTTTTTTATTGTGTTTTTTGGTACCGAGATTGAGCCCAGGGCTGCTTAGCCACTGAACCACGTCCCTGGCCCTTTTTTGCATTTTATTTAGAAACAGGGTCTCTGAGACCCTAGGGCCGTCCAGAGCCCTCAGGGCCTAGCCTCCTGAGCTCTGGGGTCCAGGCGTGCACCACGTGCCTGGCAAAGGTTGGGATTTTCGCGCAGCCTTCGTCACCCTGGCTGGCCCGGGTTGCTGTCCTGGCCCCTCAGCCGGCGTGGCTTCGCCTCTGGGACATTTACTCTCCAGGGCAGTTCAAGCTCCTCTCTGTCCCCAGGTGGGAGTCTGTTCCTGTCAGTCCCCTTCAGGTCCACTGAGCGCTCTCAGTCCCCTGCAGGTCACCCTCCCCAGCTGCATTCAGGGGAGCTGGATGAGACACCCAGAGTTGACATTAGCCAGAGGGGGGTGGTACCAAGTCCCCCTGGGTGAAGACGCTGGGTCAGAGCGCCCAAGAGAGCCCTCGCCCCGGGGCCAGGCCGCGCTGCCCGGGGCAGGTTGCCGTCTTTCTCTCTTTCTGATAAACCCGGATGTTTCCCAAATTCGGGTGTCGACTTTGCACAGGGCCACACTGCTCTGGGCCCCTCCGGGTAGTATGTGTGCCCAGGAGCACTTGTTCTGTTTTTCTAGAGTCACCAGATCCCCCAAGATGGCCCTTCCCCTCTGCTGCGGCAGGCGAAGACCAGCCCCAGGCCCGGTCAGCGCTGCCGGCTCCCATCCCCGAGGCCTCCTGTCCTCACTGCGTGGCCTTTTCCCTTATCAGCTCCTTCTCTGGAGCCCTCGAGCTTGTGGCTGCCACTTGTGGTTTTCTGTAAAGAGAACGCCCCTGGCTTCCAGGTTCGGGGACAGCTGGAGGCGCTCGAGTGTCCCCAGGGCGGGAGCCTCCACTGACCAGCTCCCCGTGCCCGCAGCCTTCATCCTCCCCAAGGCCGAGGTGTGCGTCCGGAACCACGTCCAGCCCTACATCCCGTCCATCCTGGAGGCCCTGATGGTGCCCACCAGCCAGGGCTTCACTGAGGTGCGCGACGTCTTCTTCAAGGAGGTCACCGACATGAACCTGAACGTCATCAACGAGGGCGGCATCGACAAGCTGGGCGAGGTGAGGCCTGGCTCTCCCAGGGCCGGCCATGTGGCCCTGCGTGGGCTGCCCTCCTCTCAGGCTCAGTCTCTAGACACGGAGCCGCTGGAGACCAGGGGCGGGCCACCAGGACACAGTTGTCACAGGTCCTGGTGGGGGCCAGCAGTTAGAGGAGAGAGGGACACTGACCCCTGCCGGCAGCTCCTAAAGCAGGATGCGGCGGAAGGCGGGAAGGCCCTGCAGATCCTCACCTCCTCGCACCGGCCACCTCGGCCGGCCCCAGGGCTCTGGTCTGGGCGGGCGTCTCCCTGGGTGTCTGGCTGCTGGAGTCCACGCCCCCAGAGGTGCGGCCAGAGCCTGCCTTGTGTCCCTGCCGCATCCTCCACATCCCAAACGCGGGGCCGGGGATCCTGATCAGGATTTGAGAAACAGAAAGGACCTTAGCTGGTAGAAAGCCCCTTTCAATTTTGGAGCTGAAGACTCTGAGGCTCAGAAAGGGTGAGCGACCGCTGAGGGTCACCCAGCAGGGGTGAGCGGGCTGGCAGCCCCACGCGCTAGGCCCCGCCTCCTGGCCTTCAGCTCCTCCTTCGTGTCCTGGGTGCCGGGTTGGCACCCCCAGGAGGCTGTTCCTGGCCGCCTGGCCCCGTGTCCACACGTCCCTGCTCCCTGCAGTACATGGAGAAGCTGTCCCAGCTGGCCTACCACCCCCTGAAGATGCAGAGCTGCTACGAGAAGATGGAGCCGCTGCGGCTGGACGGGCTGCAGCAGCGTTTCGACGTGTCCAGCACCTCCGTGTTCAAGCAGAGAGCCCAGATCCACATGCGAGAGGTAGGCCCCCGGCTGCTGCCCCCAGCCTGGCCTGCACCCTGCCCACCGCCCCGGGGCCCTGCTCCCCGCGGCTCCCTCCACCTCTCCTCTGGGTCAGAGTGTCCTCTTGTGCCTGTGCCTCAGCGCCAGTCAGCTGGCTCCCCTTCCTTGGGGGGGCCCTCCCTCCTCACTCCCCTCCCTCCCCTCCCTCCCCCTGCTTCCTGCTCTCAGGGCAGGACTGGCCCCAGGGCCCGTCTCTGTGGCAGGGGCAGGACAGTCCCAGTGAACGCGTGGGCAGGCCCAGAGCTGGCAGGCCCGGGCGGGGGCTGGCTGAGGATCCAGCGCCCTCAGGAAGGGGCTGAGGTCACTCTGGTGTGCCCGCAGCAAATGGACAACGCAGTGTACACCTTCGAGACCCTCCTGCACCAGGAGCTGGGGAAGGGGCCCACCAAGGAGGAGCTGTGCAAGTCCATCCAGCGGATCCTGGAGCGCGTGCTGAAGGTGAGCTCGCTGCTGCCCTGGGGGGCACCCTGATGGCCGCGAGGGGGACTGCCCCCACCGGCTGGCGGAGCCTCCCACCCAGAGCCCCCCCACTCCTCCCTACAGAAATACGACTACGACAGCAGCTCGGTGCGGAAGAGGTTCTTCCGGGAGGCGCTGCTGCAGGTCACCATCCCCTTCCTGCTCAAGAAGCTGGCACCCACCTGCAAGTCGGTGAGTCCCTCCCAGCCCCGCCCGCCCCTCGCCCCTTGGCCGTCCTGACCCGTCTCTGCCCACCCGCCCGCAGGAGCTGCCTCGCTTCCAGGAGCTGATCTTCGAGGACTTCGCCAGGTTCATCCTGGTGGAGAACACGTACGAGGAGGTGGTGCTGCAGACGGTGGTGAAGGACATCCTGCAGGGTGAGCCCAGGCTGCGACACTAGATGCAGGGAAAGGCTTGAGCCCCCGCCCTGGGTGGGCTGGCCCACTGGTAGCTGTGTGGCTCCAGGAGGGTAGCGCTTGCTCTCTGGGCCTCACATGTCCCCTCTGGACCTCGGCTCGCTGGGAGAGTCAGGGAGGGACCTGGTGGTTGCCAGCCAGCGTCCCAGCTCTGCTACTTAAGCCACCAGTGAGGCCTGGACTGAGTCACATCCCAGTCACAGACCCTGACAGAGGCTGAAGCCGGTCCCCTGTGGGCACGGGTCCCTGTGCTGAGCGTCTGTCGCTCCCCTTGTGTCCCCTAGCTGTGAAGGAGGCCGCGGTGCAGCGGAAGCACAACCTGTACCGGGACAGCATGGTCATGCACAACAGTGACCCCAACCTGCACCTGCTGGCCGAGGGCTTGCCCATCGACTGGGGAGAGGAGTACGGCGACAGTGGTGGTGACAGGGGCGAGGGTAGCTGCAGCCCTGGCTCCCCAGAAGCAGCCACCCTCTCGGAAAAGCGACGGCGTGCCAAGCAGGTGATGTCCGTGGTCCAGGACGAGGACACAGGGCTGCCTTTCCAGGCTGGCTCTGAGCCGCCGTCACCTGCGTCCCCGGACAGTGTCACCGAGGTCCGTAGCCTGCTGTCCCAGGATCTGCGAGCTGAGAGCCCTCCACCAGAAAGTTCCCTGCTCAATGGAGACCCTGCCCAGGAGAGTCCCCAGCCCACGGTGGCTCCCAGGGCCTCCTCGCCACCCACCTCACCTGCTCAGCATCTCCCACCTGGAAAGGCTGTGGACCTTGAGCCCCCCAAGCCCAGTGACCAGGAAACAGGGGAGCAGGTGTCCAGCCCCAGCGGCTGCCCCCGCATCCACACCACCACCGAGGACGGTCTGGGGATGCAGACGGAGTTCTAGGCTGGTCGCCCCTTCTGCTGGACACGGCACCCGGCCCCTCCCTCTGAGGCGCTGGCGACGGCACCCCATCTGTGCCCTGTGGTGGAGGCGGGGCAGGTGGCGTGGCACCGTGGGGTGGGGCCCACCTGAGTCACTTTTCTGGGTTCAGTCCCTTCTCCCTGCCTTCTCCCTGCGGGCTGATCTCAGGCGCAAGTTCTGGTTTCGAGGATTTCTTCTGTGCTGGGGGCTGGACACTTCGGGAGCCCCTCCGCCCGCCCTCCTGCTCTTGCCGTCCTCCTCGGGAGAGGGAGACTGAGTGTCGGGTGCTGCGCCACGGAGCCTGGGAAGCTGGTCGATGGCCCCGCATGGCACCTGGCCTGTGGCACTGGGTGGCGGGGGGAGGCGGAGCACTGAGGCCCTGCCTCTTGTCCTGTCCCCTCCTCAGCCTCCCTGCCGGGCCCCAGAGGCCAGTCCCAGGGTGGATGCAGACCTGGCACCGGCTGCACTGAGGGAGGCGGAGGGGGCTCTTCGGGCCTGAGCAGGCGGGGTGCTGGAGGAGGGGGAGGTGTCGGGCTCTCAGGGGAGAGGGGCTAGGGGCCTGGGTGGAGGAGAAAGGCCTAGAATGTGCTGGTCTGTTGAGGGGAAGTGTCCCGAGGGGAGGAAGTAGGTGGCCTCTGTCAGAGGTTACAGTCACCTGAGCAAGAAGCCGAGATGGCAAAGTGAGGGCTGCTGGAGCCAGAGTGGGGGGCTCTAGCTCCCCATGTCTCCCAGGCCAGCCCGGCTCCTTCCTGCTCCCCGGTGTCCCCCCTCCCTCAGAGGCAGGGCTCAGGGGCTGGACTGTGCCCACCGGAGCTGGAAGGGGCTCCCCAGGAACAGAGGGAGGCTCCCGAGAACCCCCAGGATCTGGAGTCGTCTGAGCTCGGCCTCATCCTAATCTCCAGGCCTCTCCCGCAGTGTCCCCGTGAATCACTGTGGGCTTAGCCCTTGTCCCTTCCATCTGTTCCTGGTGTGAGGGGCAAGTCCGTCCCCAGGGTCTCCCCTGTCACTGTGAGGGGAGGGTGGGTTGGGCAGGAACTCTCTCTGCCGTGTCCCTGGGTGGTCGTGTGTCCCAGCCCTGCAGCCTCCATGCCCTGGACGTACTTCCAGGGCAGGGGCCTGAGACCCCCAGGATGGCGCTCACAGGTGCTCAGGGACCCCAGTCCCCAGCTCTGATCTTGGTCACGTCACTAACCTCTTCTGATCTCTCCTAGTGCCTTGGGGGTTTCGATCATTGTTCCCAGATACGGTATCAAAGATCCTATGCAAACTCTTAAGCTTCGCTAATCAATAAACGCTTTATTTAAAGCCACTTCCCTGTGTGTTGCTGGTGTGGGGCGTGGGGGGGGGACCTGGCTCCAGGGCCTGTGTCTAGGAGTCTCCTTGGGGCTGGGGCTGGGGCTGGGGCTCTGTGACTCGGCTTCTGGGCTCGTCACTTCACCAAGTACCAGCAGGTTTCTGGTCTGTGTTCCAGTAGCCTCCCATTGATAGAGGAGGAAACTGAGGCTCAGAGAGAACACCTGTCCAAGCCCATGGAGCTCCTATCCTAGGGGACTGTCCTCATGGCAACTCAGGTGGCTTCCTCAGCCAGACCTATGCAGGGTGCTCTCAGCAGCACTGGGTGACAGTAAGGCCCAGAGGGATGGCAGATGTGTTGAGGCCAGTCAGGGCCCCGGGGTGTCCATCCTAGGGACTGGCCCAGGCTCATGCTGGACGCAAACGGCCACACCGCCTCTTCAAGACCTGACCACGTGCCAGTGTTTGAGGGACACTTCTGTAGGCTGTGGACTTCACATCGGGGGCCAGGAGACTCAGGGCAGCTCTAGGCCCAAAGGGGTGGGGCACCCTAGCTGAGAGGACCGCACAGGGACACCCAGCCCTCTGCAGCCGGCAGGGTGGGGTGCTTCCTCTGCGGGTAAAGCATATCCCTTTGGCAAAGGCGCCAGAAACGTGCAGTGGGGAAAAGAGCCTCTTCCATTGGGAAGAGGAAATCCACAGGCACAAGGTGAGACTGGACCCCACCCTCTCCGCAGGCGACCAGCATCAGACCCTGTCCTACCAGGAGGAAAAGCCACTCGTCATGTTGGCGTAGGAACCAAATTCCTCCAGTGCCAGAAGTCAAATCAAGACTCAATAAATGGGATGGTATCAAACGAGAGTTTCTTCACAGCAAAGGAAACAAGAACCTGAAGAGAGAGCCTCCAGAAGGGCAGAAAATCCTGCCACCCGCACCTCGACAGCACCAATCCCCAGGATGTATGAAGAACTCGAGGCTGTGGCTCGGCGGTAGAGCACCCACCTCACATGTGTGGGACCCTGGGGTCGATCCTCAGCACCTCATAAAATAAATGAGTGAAATGAGCGTGTTGTGTCCAACTACGACTAAAAATAATTAAACAAGACTCAAAAAACTTAACTCCAAAAAACCCCACAAATAATCCTGATCAACAAAGGAACTGCACAGACACTACACAGAAGAAGAAATATGATCGGTCAACAAATATAAAAAAATGTTCAACATCACTAGCAATTACAGAAATGCGAATTAAAACTACACTGACATTTCATCGCACTCCAGTCACAAGGGCAATCATCAAGCATACAAGTCACAATTAGCGTTGCGAGGAAGTGGGGATAAGGCACACCTGAACACTGCCAGGGGGACTGCAAGCTGCTGCCGCCACTCTGTAAAGAGCATGGAGAGTCCTCAGAAAACTTGGAACGGAACCACCACTTGACCCAATTATACCACTCCTCTGCATTTACCCAAAAGACTTTAAATCAGCCTACTATAGTGATGTGGCCACATCAATGTCTACAGCAGCTCAGTTCACAATAGCTAAGCTATGAAACCAACCTAGGTGCCCTTCAACAGATGAATGGATAAAGAACATGTGGTACATATACACAAAGGAATACTACTCAGCCATAAAGAAGGGAGAAATTATAGCATTTGCCAGTAAATGGATGGAACTGGTACTATCATGCCAATCCCCCAAAACCAAAGGCCAAGTGTTCTCTCTGACATGCAGATGCTGAACCACAATAGTGGGGTGGGGGGAATGGAGGTTCACCAGATTGGATGGGGGAGCGGGAGGAGGGAGAGGAGATGGGAATGGGAAAGACAGTAGAATGAATCGGACATCACATTCCTCCGTCCCTATATGGATACATGACCAGCGCAACGCCTCACCATGTACAGACGCAAGAAAGGGAAGTGGAGCTCCATGGGTGTGCAATAGGTGACAAGACACTCCACGGTCATACGTAACTAAAAAGAACAGAAAAAGTAAAGGACCAAAACCATGTCCCGATGGGTGCCATGGGGGATGTCGGCTCCCTGGTCAGCCTGGCCTGGTGGCCTGGGGCTTAGGTCCCACCCTCTCTCAGTCACCAGGGCTGGGATGCACAAAGGGCCACAGGGTCAAAGGCCAGGGCTCAGCTGTGTGTCGCTGGTTCCTTGCAAGTTTCTAACTGAGCTCAAGCTCCTCCGCCGGAAGAGGGACAGAACACCTGTCTCTGGCCCTCGTGAAGATTAGGGAGCCACAATCACGTCCTCCAGGTTACAAGTCTGAGGCTCCTCTGGGCAACTTAGACCTTGCCTCAACATAAAAAAGAAGAAGAGCTGGGGTGGGGGGGGTAACTCAGTGGTAGAGCCCTGGGCTCAGGCCCGTACTGCCAAGGAAAAAAAGCCATGTCTCCAGAAAGTGGGCGGCTGCCTCGGCCTCGGGCCTCTGGCCTCAGGCCTCTGGCCTTGGTCTCCTCTGGACCAAGCTGAAGCCAGGAGCCTGGGTGGGAGGGGCGTCATCAGAAGTCCCCAGGAGAAGACAGGGAAGAGGCACCCAGCTCTCAGAGTCCTTGGAGAGCAGGACTCCCATGGTGAAGTCATTCACTCTGTCCTCTCCAGCACTGCAGGACGGATGGTCCCGGTGAGGCAGAGAGGTGCAGGGCTCCTCCCCAGCCCTCTCCGGTGCTGTACCTCAGGCGAGCACTCAGCGCCCCCTGGTGGCCACCAGCTGAAGCCGGCAGGGCCCGGCACCGGCCACACTGGATGCAGCGGAAGAAGCAGGCCTGAAGCTGGCCAGGCTGGCTGGGTGAGGCCCAGATACCCTGAGCAGCTCAAAGCAACGGTGGCCCTTGGCTCAAAAAATCTGCCAGGAAACACATAATAAAGGTGCACCTCTGCCTCAGGTCCAAGGGCGCACGGCTTTCAGGTTTCCAGCACAATGGTGCAGGTTTGGGAGTCAGGACGTCTGTGCTCAAACCCAGCTCCACCAGGTCCCAGTCACATGTCCGGCATCACCCCTCAGCCTCTGCTCCCTTGTCTGGGGTAACACCAGTGCGCGTTACCCCAACACGACCCACCACTGAGCATCCCCGATCATGGAGAGGTGCTGCTGCTGTCCCGGCTCTGGTTCCCCCGCCCCCCACGCAGCAGTGCCCTTCTCCCTCTCCTTTCAACTGAGGTGCACCCACTCCTGGACTCGTTCCCTGGTTGAGCTGCTCTTCTCCTGACCCAGTCCCCTCCCCTTCTGGGCTCCCAGGAGGTCCATGGATGACATGGGCCAGGAGCTCACCGATAGGTTTATTGATGTTCCTGCTTTGGGTGGAGCTGCGCGGGTGAGGAGCTACAGATGTGCAGCATGGGTGGGGCATGCACAGGGAGCAGCAGAGGGGAGGCCCGCGGCACAGGCCTGCAAGGCTCACCCCTCCCCAGGACATCCCCACTCCAGGCCAGGACAGCTGGCACGTCCCACAGGTGAGAATGGCAATCCCACAGGCGGATGGCCGGTAGGTGGAGATTTTCAACTTGGCCAGGGTGCTCATTCCCCAGGCCAGGTGGTGGCACAGCCACCTGTCCACTCCCTGGACCCTGTCCCCGTGCCACCAGGGCTGGTCCCCAGTAGAGCCATGCATGCCCCCTCTTCAGCGTTTGGACTAGCTCTGCCATGGGTTGGGAGTGCCTCCACCTGGCCCGACCCACAGGGGGCTCACGGCTGGGGGCTCACAGGTGGTGGGGAGAAGCCCAGGAGGGGGCTCACCCCAGCGTGGGTGGCGCAGGAGTGAAGGGCACCTTGGGCCTGTGGTGGCGGAGGCGGTGCCGAGGGCCCCTCAGCTGCTGTGGTAGATCCGGAGGCGCTGGGCAATCTCCTGGCGGCACAGCGGGCAGGTGCGCAGCGGCTGGCAGCACTGCTGGCAGCAGCAGACGTGGCCACAGGTGAGGAAGACCATCTGGGCCTGAGGGAAGAGCGGCCGTGAGGGTGGGGCCCTGCTGGGTTCTCTGGGATGGACGCCACTGAGTCCCAGACCCTGGGACCTAACCTTAAATATCTGGTGCCATGGTCACCATAAGCCATTCAAATATCATAGAGATAAATGCCACAGTTCACAAAAACCTAGTTGTTATGTTTGCAGTTTTGTGTCTACTTCTCTATGTTTTGTAAATAACATGTGAAAGCCCAGAACCCACCCCCACCCCTTTCCTTAAATAAAGTTTCTTGGCCTCTGTCCATGTGGTAGCTGTGTGGGGCCCTCTGCAGGACCATGGCTTGCTTAACCAGCCCCCGCTCCTGGGCACTGAGGTCCCTGGCGGTTCTTTTCAGTGGTGGGAGGGAGCCCAGCCTGTGCCAGGCAAACGCGCCACCACTGAGCTCCCGCCCATATTTGTAGTCTTCACGGTGCGTGTGCTTGCCCAGGCGGGCTCTGGTCCGTGAGCAAGAGTGCTGTGCCTGTCCCAGGCTCTGCCCTAGCACTTCTTGCTCAGAACACACCCTTAGGAGATGGCCATGGCTGTGCTCCAAAGCCTTCACAGCCGTCTGCCATCTGCAATGTTGAACTGGGCCAGAGAGCAGTGGTCCATTTGCACCATGCCACTCCCTGGCTACATTAATGACCAGGGGACTGTCACACTGCTAACACAGCTGCTTTTATAAGCAGCATCCCCTGGTGGCGGCAAGTGAGAATTGATAGTTTATACACTTGTTTAATTTCCGAAGAAAGTGTTAATTCTGCAACAATTTTTAAAAGGTGATTTTTAAAGAGACTTGGCAGGGAAAATCCTGTTGTTGATATTTCATGACCTGGGAGAATTCCCTAATATATTTTTTAAGTTGGGGAAAAAAACCTTCTTATGAAAAAAAAAATAAAAATGTTCAGAAAATCATGTTAGCATTACTCATATTTTGGTCACGGGACCATGGGTCATTTTTGTTTCCTTTTAATTTCCAAAATGTCTAATGAATACAGTATACTTCTGTAACCACAGGAAACTGTTGGGAAATGATGCACAGGTCTGGAGGGGCGGAGGAGGACGGCTGTGGGCATGGGGCAGAGGGGGGCTAGGTGGGTCCAGCACCCTGGTGGCCCTGCCTGGTGGCCCCAGACTCACCTCGCGTTCCAGGCACACAACACACTCAGAGGCCTGCGGCTGTAGCTCAGCAGGGGGCGCTGATGGTCTCACTGGCTCAGGAGGCTCCTGGGGGTGTGTGGGGGACTCCAGGGCCCCGAGGACCTCTCCCTTGGGTGGTTCCAGCTCTGAGGAGACCAGAGGGACAGGCTGAGCCAGGGGGTCATCCTAGGTGCTCCCAACCCCTAGGGGTGCCCCTGGCCCTGGCTGCCCACAAGTGTGTGACCTGGGGCTGTTGTGATCTCTGAGCTGGGGACGGGCTCCCCACCATGCCCTCTTATTCCTCCTCTCTGAGCCTCCTCCCTGTTTCCCCATCCGTGAAACAGGAGTGAGTTTCTGCCTGGCTACCTCATGACGATACCAGGCATGGCCACCGTGCTTAACAGGGCCACTCATCCTAACTCAGCCACTCTGCAGCAGAGATGAGAAATCTGAGGCTCAGAGGGAACACCGCTTGCTGGGAGCCACAGTGCCACCTTGTGGTGGAGCGCAGAACAGAGGCCCTTGGTTAGGGGCTGAGCTTTGAACTACCAGGCTGCCCAGGAGACAGCATGGGCTGCCGCCCAGACGGGAGGAGCAGGAAGCAGAGGCCTCCAAAGCTGCTTCCAGCTGCTCACTCTGCTCCGAGCCAGCCCCTGCCAGGGCCAATCAGCCAGCCACTCATATGGTTGGGGCTCTGTTAGGAGAAGCCCTGGAGAAAGCCCTGGGGTCAGTACCTGGCTGTATCCTGGCCTTGGCCAGCAGCTCCTGGACTCTCTGTAGGATCTCATGCTGCAGGCCAGCTTCTGAGACGCCAATCTGCGGCAGTTCAGAAAAGAGCAGACTGTGACTGGGGCTGAGCAGGAGCCTGCTCTGCTGGGTGGAGCTGCCTGCGAGGCCCCGGCCCACAGGGAGCCTCTGGTACCTTTGGTTGGAATGTGGCAGACCAGGCTCGGGATCAGCATCAGGCAGTGCCCAGACAACTGTGAAGGTGACTGGCTCAGGTCTAGGGGCACTGATCAGTGTGGCAGGGGGAGAAACTGAGGACCCAAAGGACAGCAAGACTAGTAACAGCTACAGCTCATCAAATACTGTCCAGTGCTAGGGATTACACCAACGATGTCACTTGCATAACCAGGTGACAGGGAGAGAAGCCACAGTTCAGCCAAGCTGCAGAGAGGCAGCTGTGCCTGGCCACACAGTCCCTGGGCTCCCAGAGCCCATGTGGCATGGCCCAGGACTCTTCAGTGCCATCTCGTCCTCTGTCTGCAGGAGAGACAGGACAGCAGAGTGGAAGAGAACAGGGACTTGGGGCCAGACCACCTGAGGTCAAGCCCTAAGCTTGCTCAGGGGGCTCAATTTCCCCATCTGAAGTTGCCGAGGACAGCGGCACCTGTCTCAGGGGCTGCCAGGAGAGCGAGTCATCGAGTTCAGGTCTGCAGACTATCGGAGCCTTGCCTGGGAAATGCAAGCATCCACTAGGAAGGCGACAGCAGCCATCGGGTCATTCTATTTTAAGCAGCACGTGGCTAACTGGACATACAGAGCTTGACTCACACCCAGAACTTGGCTGGGGCTCAGGCAGTGCTGTGGCCATGGCTGTGAAGCCAAGGGGCAGGGTAGGGGCTGGACCAGACCACCCCCAAGGACATGTGTTGACACTGCAGAGCACACATAGGTGGCTGGGGACAGATGGGGTAGGCATGAGGTCATCTGGACACAAGGAAGCCCTGGGCCATTTAAGCATGACTGGCCCTACCACACTGAATGAAAAGTAATCAGCCCTTGCCTCTGACCTCCTCAGGGGCCGCTGCACCCACCTTGGCCAGGTCCCCAGGGCTCATGCGGCTCAGCATGTCCAGTGAGATGCGGTGGTGGGCAAAGATGGGCAGGTAGTGCTCGGCAGAGAGCTGCACCAGCAGGGCCACCAGCTGGCGCTCCATGCCTTCCTCCTGCAAGACACACCCGAGCAAGGCCAGGGTGCCCACGTGGAGAGAGGGAGAGCCATTCCATCTGTCAACTTGAGGTAGTGAGCGACTTAAATGTCCACCGCAGTGGAACTGTTAAAATACACCAGGGTTCACTGCACACAGGACACCACGGAGCCTGGGGTGATGGGGCGGCTCTGCGCGTGGGCGGGAGAGCTGTCCGTCCCAGCTGCCAAAACCGTGGGTACCGGGCTTTTATTATGTATTTTATTATGTATTTAAAAAGTGTGCGGGGCTGGGGCTCAGCAGTGGAGCGCTCGCCTAGCACATGCGAGGCCCTGGTTCGATCCCCAGCACCACATAAAAATAAGTAAATAAAGGTATTGTGTCCAATTACAACTAAAAAATAAATATGAAAAAGTGTGTGTGCTCGTGAGAGAGAGGAGGGAGAAGAGAGAGGAGGGAGAGACCTCAGTCTGTCCTGCCCCTGCGGGGCTCGTGGTCTTGCCTGCAGGACGGTGACGGGCACCCTGTTTTCTCCCTCTCCAGAGTGAACGGGCTCTCACTCTCATTTCTGTTTCTAAAGGGTCCTGGCACACGAGGGTCACCAGAAAAATGAACTGAATTAAACTGGAGTGACCAGCAGCAGGGCAGGGCTGAGGCTCTGTGGCTCCTCTGGGAGGATCCCTGCTGGCCCCCAACCCAGAGGGCAGCGGTGTTCTTACCTGCAGCTTCAAGGACAAGGGCTTTTGGTTCAGAAGTCGCTGATACTGGATGAGCCAGTAATTTTCCTGCTTGGTCTCACTTTTGGCTTCTAACTCCGTCTGCCAAGAATGGAAACAGTCAATGTTAGTTACAAACCAGAAATAAAAACTAACACTGCCAGGCATCGTGGCCCCTGCCTGTAATCTCAGCAACCTGGGAGGCCAAGACAGGAGGATCACAAGTTTGAGGCCAGTCTGGGCAACTTAAGGAGACCCCATCTCAAAATACAAAAAGGGCTGGGATGTGGCTCAGTGGTAGAGCACCCCTGGGCTCAATTCCCAGTACTGGAAAAAGAAGGAGCAGGGGTGGGAATGGAGGTGAGGAGGAAGAAGAAGAAGAAGAAGAAAAAAAGTGTAATGACAATGACAGTTGTGAACTGCGTTCCTCTGGGCAGATGGTGGCACCTGGTAGTTCACAAAGGGCTGTCCCATCACTTGTCCCACCATTTAACCCACTGAAACCAAGAAGGCTGGAAGCCTTGCCTTTCCCAACTGAGGCCAGGGATGATTCTGGAGAAGGAAGGTGACAGATGCTTGGTGCCACACACCTGCGCCTGAGCCCCCTGCCACCTGGTCCCACACTCTGCCACTGCCTCTGGAGAGATGCCCTCTTATCTGCTGGTGGGAGAGCAGGCCTATGCAGCCCTCTCTGTCCCCAGAGAGCCCAGACTGCCCGGGTACCAGGCAGGGCGCAGGCTCCTTAGGACACTCCGGTTTCTGGGGAGGGCTTCGCCGTGGGGCAAGTCTGAAGACTCAGGAACGTGCCAGGGGCGGTGCCCTCCTGGTGCCTTGTGATAACCATCATCAGTGCTGTTCTGGGCCAGCGCTGCCCTAGGTGAGGGGACGGAGCAGTGAGTCACACCAATGCCCTCCACAGGGACAGCCCCAGCCGTGGCCTTTCTAGAGCACTGTGCGCTGGAAGATTCTGCCTCACAGGGAGGAAGCTGAAGCCCCGTGGGACAGGGATCCCCTGCGCTCAGGGCCTGGAGGCTGCAGCCACCTCGGGAGCGGCTCCACACGGGCCTCTCCCCACACACTTGGGCCTCATGTCCCGGGCAGGCCTTCCTTGGCCTTGCCAAGCTGTCCCGGCCCTCCCTGGCTGAGGGCATACCTCCGTCCTTCACCTGTGGCCCTGAGTGCTCTGCTGGGTGGTGCTGCCCCCTCCCTGGAGAGGCCCCAGGGCTGCGAGAACAGAAGCACCAGGCCACAGCATATGGCTGGCACTGCACGCTGCCGGGCCACCTGTCACACATGCACACCGTGTGGGCGGTGGTGGTGAGGCCTCACGAGGAGCAGGCTGCGTCTGATTGGCACAAACACGCCACCTGGGCTTTTGCTGGGCTCTGCAAGGAGACCGTCTCCCTCTTCCGGATCTGCACAGGCGGGGCCCAGAATGGAGCTTTCTCAGTGACTCGGCAAAACTGGGTCTTTTTCAGTCCCAGCTGGTGGGCCTGGCTTCTGTCCTCTCTGCCTGGGTGCCCACGGGGTCTGCAGGAGATAGCCACTGTGGGCTCCGCCACCCCGACAGGCCTCAGAATCAAAGCCATCTGCACAGAGGGTCTGGCCTCCTGCCCAAAGCTTATTCAGCAACCCGCCCTGGATGTGGGGTGTCCTCTCCCGGAGGCGATCCTCATGCTGTCCCCAAAGCCTTAGCTACAGGGCTGGGGCTGGGGCTCGATGGCAGAGCGCTCGCCTAGCCTGCATGAGGCACTGGGTTCGGTCCTCAGCACCACATAATAATAAATAAAATAAAGTTATTACAAGTTAAAAAAATACATATAAAGATGTTACTTTAGAAAAAAGTCCTTAGCTACAAAGACACCCAGAGACCATTGTTGACAAAGACTAAAAAACTGGTTAATAGAAGCCTGATCAAATGACAGCTTGTCCCAGTGCAGCCGCAAACAGGAACTCAGTGGGTCACTTGAATGACGTGAAGGCAGGCTGGTATTTTGTTTTTTATATTTTTAGTTGTACTTGGACATGATACCTTCACTTATTTCTATGTGGTGCTGAGGATCGAACCCAGGGCCTTGCCGCGGAGCCCCCGCCCCAGCCCCGGCTGGTCATTTTGAGAAGGGGTCTCTACACAGCCCAGACCGGTCAGCTCCTAGGTTCAAGCGAGCCTCTCATCTCAGCCTCCCAAGGAGCTGGGACTCAGGTACACGCGGCCCCAACGTGGGCCCCCAGGAATGTGCGTCAGGAGCCACATCCAGGCACTAGAAGGCTGCTCCTCTGTCCTTCCCCCCTTCCTTCTACAGGCGCCTTTACCGGAGCAATGAGAGTGATTAGAGACGCAGCTCACGTGTGGGAGAGGACAGCCATGTGTGTGGGAGGACACCGTGTGTGGGAGGACACCGATGTGTGTGGGAGGACATCGTGTGTGGGAGAGGACACCGTGTGTGGGAGGACACCGTGTGTGGGAGGACAGCCATGATGGGGGAGGACAGCCATGTGTGTGGGAGGACACCGATGTGTGTGGGAGGACACCGTGTGTGGGGGAGGACACCGTGTGTGGGGGAGGACACCGTGTGTGGGGGAGGACACCGTGTGTGGGAGAGGACACCGTGTGTGGGAGGACACCGATGTGTGTGGGAGGACACCGTGTGTGGGAGAGGACACCGTATGTGGGGGAGGACACCGTGTGTGTGGGAGGATACCGTGTGTGGGGGAGGACACCGTGTGTGGGGGAGGACACCGTGTGGGGGAGGACAGCCATGAGTGGGAGGACAGCCATGGTGGGAGAGGACACCCGTGTGTGAAAGGACACTGTGTGTGGGAGAGGACACTGTGTGGGAGAGGACACTGTGTGGGAGAGGACACCCGTGTGTGAAAGGACACTGTGTGTGGGAGAGGACACTGTGTGGGAGAGGACACTGTGTGGGAGAGGACACTGTGTGTGGGAGAGGACACTGTGTGGGAGAGGACACTGTGTGTGGGAGAGGACACTGTGTGGGAGAGGGCACCGTGGGTGGGAGAGGACATAGTGTGTGGGAGGGCACCGTGGGTGGGAGAGGACATAGTGTGTGGGAGGTCACCGTGTGGGAGAGGTCACCGTGGGTGGGAGAAGACCCTGCTGGACCGAGGCCCAGCACATACCAGGATCTCACGGAGCTCCTCCTCCCGTTGCTTCTTCTCTTTGAGCAGCTGCTGCAGCAGGGAGCTGAGTGCCCGGCGCTGCCCCGAGACCACTTCCTGCAACACAAGTCGGCCCCTGAGCTGCCAAGCGAGCGCCCAGCGCCAGGGCCGGGTGCGCTGCACTGCTGTCACTCGTTCTCAGCTCAGTTTGAGGCTCTGCCCGATGCCTCTTGGCGAGGTGGGGACACAGCCAAGAGGCCCCTCTGCCCTGCGTCCCAGTCCCCTTCCTCCCAAGCCCCTGTCTCCCTTCCTGAGCTTAAGACAGGCATGGGACCCCAGTGACTGATGGCGATGAGTGGGAAGAAACATCCAACAAAAAATGACGGGCCACCGGCCTCGCTGACCACAGAGCACGGGCAGAAGCAGGGCGGGGAGGGCGGGCGGGGAGCGCCACGTGAGGAAGCCTGCCACGTGGAGGCACATGCAAACCGGAGCCCGTGTCGTGTCCCTGCCACTCATCCTCTTACCCCTGGGAGCCCCAGGGGAGCCCTGGCAGTGGGGGCCCCTCCAGCAGGGACAAGGGCACCGCCAAGCGTAGTGGGACAGTTTCTGAGTAACCCCAGCCCCTCATCTCTGAAGCTCACAAAGGGCCTTCTCTGATGGCCAGTGACACAGACTGGCCCTGAGTGACTGCTTCCACCTTGGGGTGGGTAGAAAGGGAGGCCCAAGGTGGGCAGTGACGTGCCCAAGGTCACACCGTATCTCTGGACAGGGCTGAGGGCAGGACTCCAGGTCCCAGCATCCTCACTGTGAGCCCTCCACTGAGTACGACGGGGACAATGACAGACGCAGGCTCTGTCTGGGAGCCGGCACGGGCACATATCCTCACAGGCCACCCCTCCAGCCCCTTAGTGAGCACCTGGGGAGTCTGGGGTCCAGAGAGGGGAAAGCACAGCCCTCCTCTCCACATGCCAAGCCACACAGCAGGTCCCAGCTGTCCAGTCCAGACTGCTGTCCACCCCCCCCCCTGCTGCCCTCTCGCCTCTGTGACAAGACACCTAGGTTGGCACACACAGATGCTGCCTACAGACAATGGCACAGAAATAGCTGGTCATCTTCTCCAGACATCCTTGGGACACCAAAAAGTCCCTTCTGCAGAGGCCCAGGGAGTGGGACCAGTGGCCCAGAAGTATGGCTTAAGGACACACCCTCTCCCAGTAAAGGAAACGCAGAGCGGCGGCGATGAAGCCCTCCTTCCTCTGACCCTCCTGCCTAGCACCAGCCCCACTGGCCTGGCTCGAGCTGGACCTCCTGGGGCTGGGGCTTGGTCCCACTCCCCTGTGCTGATGAGCAGTGGCCACGGGCCGGCCGGGAGGGAGCGCTGGGAGCCTGGCTGGGCTGGGGAGGGAGGGTGGCAGGCAGGGAGCCCTACGTACCTGCAGTGCCTCTGTGTCCAGGGATTTCCTCTTTAACTCCAGCTGTGTCAGCTGCAATAACTCAGTTTCTATTAACCTAATCTAGACAGAAGACGAGACAGGGGGTTTTATTTGCGTTAACCGTGGTTCTATTTTGCGTTGCTGACCTCTGATGGCCAGATGGGGCCTCAAAAACCCTTCTAGGGGAGGCTGGGGGCTCTGAAGAGGGGGACCTGAGGGCCTTGGAATCTCACCAACAGCACGGAGGGCAAACAGGATCCGCTTGCCACAGCTCTGCTACCTTGTTACATGGACACGCTGTCTGAGTCCAGGAGTCCAGCACAAGGCCTACTGCAGAGCCGACACCCAGTAAAGAAGTGTGGGGTAAAGAAGGGCTTCCTTCAGAGCCGGGGAGAGTAGGAACAGATGCACAGTCCCCTGAGCAGACTTTCTTGCTTCCTCCCATGGCAGAGGGCCTCAGAAGGGAAGGAAGAACTAACGGTGGCGGCTGACCATGGAGCATCCACTGAGTGCAAACCTGCTGTGCTTTATCTGCATCATTCATTTTCTTTTTTCTTTTTGCAGAGCTGGGGATAGAACCCAGGGCCCAACAGCGGTGAGGCAAGCCCTCTCCCACTGAGCCACATCCCTGTCCCTCTCTGCATCATTTAATTAGTTGTTCTCTGCCTGTTCGGATATATTATGTCTCCATTTTACAGACAAGAAAAAATTGAGGCTCAGAAGGTTACATAACTTGCCCAAGGAACAAAGCAGGTAAGTGAGAGAACTTTCCCTGGGATGCCTGCTCCAAGCTGAAGAGCTGGCCTGGGGGGTCACAACCACCCACCTACACTGAGCACGTCTGGGGTCAGGTCCCACAGTAGTGGCTTTACCCTGTGCCTATGACCCTCTGACCCCACTAACCCCTGGTCAGAGGAATGAGCTTCATTTCCGGCAATGTGGGGTTGAAATTAAATAGGGAAATTAAAAAGGATAGGTTGGTTTTGGCCAAAGAGGAAAGAAATAGAAAGAAAAATAAACCATGCAGAAAGGTGAGGTTTGAGTGTGCTGAACAGGATGTGATGAGCGTCCCATGGCCTGCAAGCTCCTCCTCCAGCCCAGCCCCATTCCAGAGCGTGCCACAGAGCCATAGCCCTGGGCTTGCCCAGGGCCACTCTGCATAGCAGAGCAGAGCCTGGGTGGGAGCACAGTCCCCTCCCACCAGGCCCAGGCCTCTCCCCAGCTCGAGGCTCCTGGTGACCCACCGAATCCCCCGGCTAGGAAATCCAGTCTTCCTAGGGGAGCCCTGAGCTGCTGTCAGTCTGCCTGTGTTGGCGAGTCTGCGAGGAAGAGGAGGGCCCCAGGCACAGGCCTCTTGTGAGCCCTCAAGTGGGGGCCTCACACCTCGTCCTGTGACCTGCAGCCCTGCTCAGCAGCCTCCAGGTGGCTCTGAAAGCTGAGAGCAGGTCTAGGTGGAGCGCCCCCCAGCACCCACCTGGTTCCTGATCTGCCGGTGCATCAGGTCCTTCTTCACCTGGAGGGCCTCAAAGGCAGCCTTCTGCATGGCGCTCTGCAAAACAGATGGCACTCGGGCCGCTCAGCACAGCGGTGGCGCTGCTCTCCCAGGGCCATCCGGGGAGTAAATCTGCATACAGTTCCTGGGCACATGATTTCTACGTTTCTCAGGGAGAGACTGAAATACACATTCACCTTTTCTTCCAAGTTTTTAAAATCCTAACGTTAAGGGCTTCCCATGGGCTGGTACCCTGCTCCGTGCTCTCCCTGCACCTTGCACCGATTTCTACAGCAGTGGCTGGCCTGCGAGCCTCTGGGGCCGGGCCGTGGGGATGAGCCAAGTCTACTGAGCTCCTGAGCCCCTCCTTAACCAGAGGCAGATGTCTGCCCTGGGAACAAGACCCTCCTCAGCCCTGTCTCACAAACATCAGGTCACGCTATTAGGAAAACAAGAGACTGGGCTAGAGAGAAAGGGGGAAGGGAAGGTGGCCTGGAGGGGAAGGGAGAGCGCGGGCTACAGGGAAATGCTGCAGACCGCAGGGCCCACGGTGGTGGTGGGCGATGCTCTGTCTGCTCTGGGCCCAGCTAAGGAGGGGGACGCAGTAGCTGGAGTGTGAAGGGGGCGGGTCTCACCACGCTGTCCTGAGGGCTCCATGGACACCATTACCTCTCACCCTGTGAGGCCTTAGGATGAGCCCTGTATACAGGATGGGGGAAGACCGGGGAGGTGCCCCAGGGAGGGGGTGCTTCTTTAGATTTGGTGACCAGAAGACCATGTTCCAGAGGCCTCTCCTTGCCCCTCTGGACATCTCCAAGGTCACAGAGTCTCCTGTCTTACACACTGTCTGGCTTAGGGGACCTGGGTACCCCTGTCACCTCTGCCCTCACGCCCCAAGCCAGGGCTCACCTCCTGCAAGATCTGGCTGATGGCTTTGTTCTGATCCATCTGCTGCCATGACAGGATCTGCTGGAACCGCTCATCCATTTCGGCCATGCTGCCAGAAAGACAGCACATTTGTTAACTCTGAACATCTCCTGAGTACCTATTATGTGCACACACCTTGGAGGAGATGAGATACCATCCATTCACCGACCAATACCCATGGAGTCCCTGCTGGGGCCATGCCCCTGGCTGGGCACACACAGTTTGTCCAAACTGCATGGTCCCAGAAGGGAGGTGCTGGAGCCAGGAGCTGGCAGAGAATCTCCCAGGTCCTCTCACCCCTCCAGTCATGCAGTCCCCTCCATGATGCTCCTACAATGGACACTTGGGCTCTGCCCAACCACTCCTACAGGTAGAGAGCTTCCAACCTCCCAGCAGGCCACTCCACAGGGAAAGCATCCTTCCTGGACACTGTTGCCCTGGCCATCTGCTCTCAGCTCCCTGGAACATGGCTGGTGATTCTGGCACAAAACCTGCAACCGCACACACGCCCTGGCCTCCATGCAGTCTTGGTTTTGAGTTATTGATTAGACCCTGAAGTGGGGGACTGTATGCTCATCAAATCCTCTAACCAATCTGCGAGTAGCTACTAGGAATTTCTGATGAGAAATTTTCAGGAAGGGACCAAGACTCCTCAGGTAGGAGGAATCTTGTACTCCCGAACCATGTCACACATCCAGAAAGGAGGGAGGTTCCTGCATCTGCAGGGACACAGGGATGGTTGGCACAGGCAAGGCAGGGGAGGGTGGTGAGTGAGTCAGGGCAGCAGGGGCTGCTGAGCACCCACTGAGCTCTTCTCACCCGGGCACCTTTGGAACCTTTGACAAGCCCACAGGGCTATGGTGAGCTTGGTGACCCAGACCCAGAGGGACCAGCAACACAGACAGCCCCATCACTCTCCCCCCTCCAGCATGTCCCACACCCGGCTTCATGAGCCCTAGGAACTGGACAAGGCCAGCCCAGTCCAGAGCGCGTGCTGCCTGCTGCCAGCCTCCAGTCCTGGCCTGCCACCTGCTGGCTTGTTCGCTGCATTAATCTCTTGGAACCTGAGCTTTGACTGTAAAATGGGACTAATAAAAATACAGTCCCTCACAGATAAGCTAATGCCATCAGTCTCTGGCTTGGCACAGGGACTGTGCATAAGAAATGGGTGTGACTGTTATTCCTGTATCACTGCCCAACTCTGAATCATGGGGTCCAGCTATAAAAGTCAGGAAGGCCGGTCACCACTTGTGCTGGACAGCATGGCCAAAGCTGGGGCAGCCCAGGGCAGGGGATCCAGTGCCCAGCTCTCTGCTGAGTCCTGGGCCCTGCGCCAGCTCCCCCCAGGCCCTGGCCTGGGAATGCTCTTCCTCCCCTTACCTGGAACAGGCCTGCTGGACCAGGCTCTGCCTCTGAGACTCGTAGGCCATCTGGATGAGCCGGTTCTTACAGCTCTCAGTCAGCATCTGCTGCATGGCGGCTGCGGACAGAGGGGTACGGGGTGTGCTGAGGGAGGGTAGCTACCCTTGGGGACCCCGGTAGGAATGAAGCTGCAAGAGGACAGGACTCGAGGCACCACCTACTGATGTGCCTGATAGTCACTATAGAAATTGTTTCTCTCAGGGCTGGGGGTGTAGCTCTGTGGTAGAGCATTTGCTTAGCATGCCTGAGACCCTGGTCCATCCCCAGTACCCTCAAAAAAAGAAGTTTCTTTCTATTTATTTATTTATTTATTTATTTATTTATTTATTTTTGGCTGGGAATGGAATCCAGGACTGCTTAAACATTGAGTCCATCCTGGCCCTTTTATATTGTTACTTAGAGACAGGGTTTCAGTAACTTGCTTAGGGCCTCACTAAATTGCTGAGGCTGGCTTTGAACTTGTGATCCTTCTGCCTCAGCCTCCCAAGGCAGAATTACAGGTGTGCACCACCATGCCCAACTTCTCTTTTTAACTATAAAACTAATATAAACCAGATATATGATGGTGTAGTCTGGGAAGGGTGACAGAAGGATCATAAGTTTGAGACAAGCCTCAGCAATTTAGTGAGACCCTGTCTCAAAATAAAATGAAATTAAAAGGGCTGTTTGAAAAAAAAAAAAGAGTAACCTGAGCTTGGAAGACGGACCAACCATAAAATACCAACACACACACACACAAACCTTCTATAACCTTGTCACCAAGAAACGCTACATTTTGATATGCATTCTTCCAGTAGATTTATTTGGAGGGGTACTGGGGTTAGAACTTAGGAGCACTTTACCACTGAGCTATACACCCAGCCCTTTTTATTTTTTATCTTGAGACAGGGCTTTGCTAAGTTACAGAGCCTGGTCTTGAACTTGTGATCCTCCTGCCTCAGCCTCCAGATTTGCTGAGATGACAGGTGTATGCTATTATGGCTGGTGCCAACAGATTTTTAATGCATAATTTTTGTATTTAAAAAAATTAAAATAGGAGGTTGAAACAGGAGAATTATAAGTTCAAAGCCAGCCTCAGCAACTTAGCAGGCCCTAAGCAACTCAGTGAGACCCTGTTTCTAAATAGAACATAAAAAAGGCTGGGGATGTGGCTCAGTGGTTTGCCCTTAGGTTTAATCCCTGGTACCAGAATAATACAATAAAATAGCCCTCTCCCTCTCTTTCTCCTCCCCCGGCCAACTCCCTTTCTCTCTGTGGGTGGAGGGAGAGAAATATAATAATTAAAAGCTGGGGAGGGCTGGGGATGTGGCTCAAGCGGTAGTGTGCTCGCCTGGCATGCATGCGACCCGGGTTCGATCCTCAGTACCACATACAAACAAAGATGTTGTGTCCGCATAACTAAAAAATAAATATTAAATTCTCTTTCTCTTAAAAAAAAAAATAGCTGGGGAGCTGGGGCTGGGGCTCAGTGGTAGAGCACTTGCCTGGCATGTGAGGCACTGGGTTCGATTCTCAGCACCACATATAAATAAATAAATAAAGGTCTATAACCAAGTTAAAAAAAACATTAAAAAAAAAAAAAAAGCTGGGACTCAAGTGAAGAGGTATCTGTACAGTGGCCAACCCAGATGCTCACTGAGCGACAAATGCGCCAACAGTGTGGCCCATGCATGCTGTGGGGTGTCATCCACCCTTAAAACAAAGACGACTCTGACAGCTGCTGCTGCGTGATGCACCTCGAGGACCTCATGGTTAGTGCAAAGACACAAGAGGACAATACCAAAGGGTTGCACTGCACCAGTCCCCAGAGGAGGCAAACAGACGCCAGGAAATAGGGTGGGTATTTATGGGGGGCTGGAGGAGCGGGATGGGGAGTGAGCGCGAAATGGGACAGATTTTCATTTGGGGAAGATGGAATCATACTGGAGAGGCGCAGAGGAGAGGATGGGAACATCAATGCCACCGAACTGCACATTTCAGTGGTTAAAATGGTGAAGTTATGTGAAGAGCGTTTTGCCATAATAGAAAGAATAGAAAGAGAATCACATTAAACACAGCACTTCACATTTTTTTAATGAATATCTGCCTGTGTCAATTAGATGTGATGCTTATGACTGCAGAGGACTCCTGTACGTGGGTCACCAAAGTTTATTTAGGTAATTCTCTATTTGGATGCATTTGTGCTTTTTAAAAATAAAAATATTAAATGATCCTTCAATAAATATTCTTGCTCAAACATCTTTGTGAACATCTGATTATTTAATTATCCTCTAAGTAATCTTAGAAGTACAATCTTAAGGCATGAACAATATATTTAGGACTCCTGAAACTATGTGCCCTTGACTCAAGTGCTACCTTTCTAGAACTTTTTGCTATTTTTCTGCTGCTTCACCACTGAGCCACATCCCTAGATCTTCTGATTTTTTTTTAAAAATTTTTTTAGTTGTAGATGGACACAATACCTTTATTTATTTATTTATATGTGGTGCTGGGGATCGAACCCAGGGCTTCACACATGCAAGTTGAGTGCTCTACCACTGAGCCATAATCCCAGCCCCAATCTTCTGATTTTTTGAGAGGGGTCTCCCTTTTGTTGCTGAGGGTGGCCAAATTGCCCAGGCTGGCCTCCAACTTGTAGTCCTCCTATTGTAGCCTCCAGAGTCACTAGGATGACAGGTGAGTATCACTCTGCTGGGCCTTTTTGCTGTTTTTACTGAGTTGTTTTAGTTATAAAAATAATACGGGGTTGGGGCCTAACAGCATATGCAAGACCCAGTATGAGGCAGAAAACAAAACCAAATATAAAACATGCTCATTTTTTTAAAAAGTTAAGTAATAGGGAAGCTTGAATAGGGGAAAATGAAAGTCTCTAGACACGTTCCCATCCCTGTGCAGTTAATTAGATGAGATCCTTCTGGAAATTTCCCCACATTTTTGTTTTTACAAATGGTGGATACGAGTGACCTTTAACACCAAGATGCTAATGACCTGACAGGTGGTGGGGGGACACAGGCATGCCACGGGCTTGCCTCAGAGCCCAGCCCACAGACACCACAGACAGCCTTGCCTCCCGACAAAGGCTGTAGAGGCGGGGACACCCAACAGAATCAGTTCTTGTTTTAACAAGGGACAGGCAACACCTCCTTGGCTGTCCTTAGCCCACGTCTTCAAGTCCTCAGGGCCATGTGGGGTCCCTTCATTAGCGTGTACCACGTGGAGCCAGGACCATTCCTGAGGAATGATGGGAAGGGGCACAGCACCCAGGAACCCCAGAGGGCCCAGCCCAGTTCCCTGGTTCTCAAAAACAGGGAAGCCAGCCCTGTGGAAGGCTCATTGGGTCCAGGTGTGATCCCATCTGGCTCTCCTAATGACCCTATGAGATTGCCAGGTCATAGCATTTCCCCATGTTATAGATAATAAAATTGAGGCTTAGAAAAGTTAGGGACCAGTAATGCCCCCAAGGTCACAGCTGCTATCCAAGCTGAGACTCTGAATCCAAGCCTAGCCTGGCCCCATAGCCCCATCTCCATGAGCTGGACTTGCCTGCCTTTCTTGAGGGCTGACACTAGTGCTCTCCGCACATGACTGCCAGAGAGGGCTGCCCATCCACTGGCCCAGGCGGCCAAATGCTCTTCTCTAGGGCCCTCACCTTCCCCATCTCGGAACTCACCGGCGATCTCACGTTGTCGCAGGTTCTCTGTCTCCTCCTGAGTTATGGACATCAACTGTTCCATTCTTATTCTAGGGGGAAAAAAAGCCATCCATTCACTTGGCAAACAACTTTTCCAACAGGGAACCCCACCAGAAGAGCACCACCTCCTCCAGGAAGCCTGCCCTGAAGAGCCAACCCAGATGAGCTCCCTGAATGCCCACATCACCACCTCCTCCTGTGGGGCCTGTTAACTCCAGCCCTGTAGCTAGAGTACCTGTATAAAAGGGTGAACATCCCCTTAGAAAAATGGGCCAGTGCTTCACTACAAGTAACCAGCAAACATGGGAAGACGCTTAACATCACTGGCAAAGAAGGCCAGACCTGTTCACCTGTCAGGTTGGTTGAGATTAAGAAAACCAGGAGCTGCTGCTGCCGGCAACGATGGTGGAGAAATGGGCACATCTGTGTGCTGCTCAGAGCACAAACCAGCTACATGTTTGTGAAGATGTGCTGGCACCCATCTAAATGTCATTTGCATATTTCACTAAAAAGATGATCATATAAAGCTTGGTGCCATGGTGCCTGTCTATAATCCTGACTACTTGGAAGCCTGAGTAGGAGGATCACAAGTTCAAGGCCAGCCTGGGTGATTTAGTGAGAGCCTGTCTCAAAATAAAATAAAAATTCTGGGGCACTAGCTCAGTGATAGAGTGATTGCCTAGATCATGCAAAGCTCTGGGTTCAATCTCTAGAACAAAAGAAAAAAAAAGTCACATAAATACCTAAGGGTACACTGAGAATCTGTTCACCATCATAATTTTTGAAATTATAAAAAACTGGAAGCAACTTAAAGGTTTGTGGGCAGAGGGCTAATTAGATAAATTATGATTTAATCACACAATAGAACATTCTTCAGCAATTACAAATTACCAGATTTGACATGGAAATTCATCCATGATATAGCAAGTGAAAATGAACAAGGTGACATGCAAGCACACATGCCTGCTGTGCTTTTTCATATGCCCAACTAGCAGGAGTGGCTTGGAAAAATCAATATCCTTTCCTGTTCCCTGCTGCTGGGACTTAGTCGCAAGGGCATGGATAGGTGGAGCAGCTCTGTCTGCTGTCCAGGGCCATAGACAGCTCAAGAGAAGGTGGCTTCTGGTAGAGGGCTGTACTCTGGGCCCAGCCCCACCCAGAACCAGGGGTTCTTGGTCAATGTGGGCCAAATAGATGATGCCACTGGCCACAACACTGCTTGGCTTGGACCGGCCCAGCTCCCCAGCCCCAGTTGAGGTTGGCAGCATGGGGGTGGCTACTGTAGCCCCAGGAAGCACCCTGCAGAAGGCCTTTCCAGGCAGTGGGGGCCTAGAAGTCTGGACTGACTAGGTGAGATAGGGCTCCTCCAAGGACAGCTCAGAGTCCTCGCTGCTATTGCAGGACCCGAGAGAACCAGGAGGGATCAGAATTGACATCTCAGGGAGGGGTGGAGGATGGAGTTGGTCCTTCCTCTCTATCATCTTTTCTAATTACAAAAGTGGTGTGCCCCAATATAGTCGACTCAGAAAACACAGAGAAGAAAATGAAGGCCACTACATGTAAGCCCCATGACTCAAAAAAAATTAAGTAGTAACCATGGGAATGGGCCCACATGCTTTCTGCACACAGATAGTGCAGAGTGTCTTTTTTTTTTTTTGGTTCTAGGAATTGAACCAAGAGGTTCTCTACCACATCCCCAGCCCTCTTTATTTTTTATTTTGAGACAAGGTCTTGCTAAGTTGCTTAGGACCATGCTAACTTGCTGAGGTGAGCCTTGAACTTGTGATCCTCCTTTCTCAGCCTCCCAGCTCACTGGGATTATAGGCATGTACAATCACTCTTGGTCAGAGTGTCTTTTTAAAATGATAACTGGTATATTCCTCTTTAAATACAGCCTCCCACTTTTCTACTTAGCAACATGACTGTTCTCCCTAGTGAAGAACACAATTGGCCCTCCATATACATGGGTTCCACATCTGTGGATTCAATTTACTGTGGATCAACAATGTTTGAAAAAAACCTGCCTCTGTACTGAACAGGTACATATTTTTCCTTGTCATTATTTCCTAAATAATAGAGTATAAGAGCTATTTAAACAGCATTGACATTGTATTAGACATTATAAGTTATCTAAACATAAAGTGTACAGGAGGAGGTTGTGTAGGTTATATGCATATACTTTGCCATTTTACATAAGGGACTTTGAGCATCAGTGGGCTTTGGTATCTGCAGATGGTCCTGGAACCAATCCCCCTCAGATACAAAGGGACAGACGTATTTTATTTCTTTTTCTTTCCATAAATGTAGATTTGTTCTTTTTTTTTTTATATTGGAAATATTCATTATGTATCCATCCTATTCATGTCTCTAAATTTTTTAAAGAACTTGAAAGTAGTGATAATTCATTTTTTGATCTAGTTATTTATTTTGACAGTACTATGGATTGAACCCAGAGCTTTGCACACGTGAGGCAAGCACTCTACCACTGAGTCACATTTCTAGGCCTTTTTATTTTTTATTTTGAGACCGGATCTCACTAAGTTGCCAAGGCTGGCCTTGGACTTGTGATCCTCCTGCCTCAGCCTCCCAATTGCTGGAACTGCCGGTGGGTCCTGCCACTCCTGGCATGGCAATTCTTTTTAATTTGATCCTAACAAGCTGAATCTCTTTATAGCTTTAAGAAAACTTTCTGGGACAATCTCCTGGAGATTCACAAAGACATTCCTCCCCAAAGCTCCACTCCCTGGAAGGACGCTTACCTTTCGTTTTCCAGAGACTTCAAGATCTCCGCACTTTTCTTTTGCCTGTGAAGAAAACCAGAGCGGTCCCTGCAGTCACCAGCCCTTTCCCGCAGCGCTGCCCCACCTCACTGCACGGGCCATGCTAGGGGCCTCAGTGCCTGCCTCTGAGCCCTGCCACCTGGAAGCTCTGTGTCCAGGCCAGTAAAGCCACTCCAGGCCCCAGATGTCCTCACTTGTGAAAACAGGTGAAAAACTTCCTGGGCTGTTTGTAAAAAGTAAATGAGAAAATAAGCATGAAGTGAGCTCCCAAAAGCGGTCACTTTCTGGACTCAGGCGCTTGGTAACTGACAGGTGAGGGAGCACCAGGCGCAGCAGGATGAGGAAGAGGAAGCCCGGAGGGACAGGAAACAGGCGAAAGCCTGCTTCTGGACTCTTCCTGCAATCTCCCCTCTAACTAGACATTCTCAAGCTTCTTGAAATCTCTACCTGTCCCCCTTCTCCCCAGCCCCACCGAGACCTGCTCTTAGGAGCTCCTACCTAGGACAGAATTTGTTCAGCTAAATCTCACTACAGGGTGAAGCCCTCAGGCAAAAGGCTCCTTGGAACTCAAAATCCTGGAGCAGGTGAGATCTCAACTACTTTGCTAAGAGCCACTCATTTTACAGAGGGGAAACCTGGGGCCAGCAGGGAAACACTTGCCACGGCCATAGGTCCAGTCAGTGTAAGTCCCATGACAAGGACTCAGACCTCGACATGTTTCGTAAGGTTCCTTTTTCTGTGTGTTGATGGGGATTGAAGCCCCTAGCAGGAGCACGTGGGTAGGAGTGCAGACCGTGGGGAGGACTGGACCTCCATTCTGGGACCTTGAAGGGCACCCTGCGGAGAAGGGCTCTGGGCCAGAGGCAGGGCCAGGACTGACCTCTGGTTCTCCTGCAGGAGTTTCTGGATGCGATTTGCAATGCTCTGCTCTGTCTGCTTTAGCTGTTCCTGCAGACGCTGCCGCTCTGCGTCCAGGTAGCGCTGGCGCTCACTCAGGCCCTGCTCCAGCCGAGACTGCTCCTGTGGGGCGGGAGGCAGAGGTCCTGAGTGAAGCCCTGATGTGCCATGGAACAGCTCTGACTGGAGCTAGGAGACTGGGTTTCCTGCCCCACTGTGCCTGTCTACACTGTGTGAACTTGGGGTTCCCCTCTTGCTGGACCTTAGAGTGCCCATTTGTGCCTGAGGAGGCCTGGGTGATGGGTCAGGGCCTTCTCTTTTAGGTACTGAGGCAGATGTGAGAGTTTAATCGCCCTGCCCTCCCACCTCAGGGGGGCCTTGGCCTGTGTCAGAAGGCCACTGGCTGGGGACAACAGTCTGATGCCTAGGCTGCTCACACCTCCTTAACTGTCTGGAGGATCTCATCCTTCTGACAGCTGCTCTGCTGAAGCAACTGGGCATGCTCTCGCTGCCCGAGGTCCAGGCGCCGCTCAAACTCCAGCTTCTCCAGCATCTTCTGTTCCTGCAGGAGTAAAGATGCTGGTGACTGCCAGCATGGGCTCCGTGGGCACCAGGACACAGCAGCAGGGGCAGTGCTAAGTAGCATGGACTGTAGGTCAGTGCTGAGCTACCCAGCTGTCCACTGGGGCCTGGTGGTCTAGAACCTGTCTGGCCTCCCACTCTGAGCTTCTGTCTCAGGATACTCTGCCACCACTGGAGGAGGCACAAGGATGCAGTGAGACAATGCACGTGAGAGGAGAGCACATCTTCAGCCTTGAATCAGAGCCAGGAATAAGCTCTTTCTTCAAATATCTCAGGAGTTGAGATTTTTAGTGAACAGATCAGAGAAGAGGAAAAGAGGCATCTTCTTACCTTCCTCTTCTCATAGTCAGAGAACCTGTTCTGGGGGAGAAGAAACAGAGGTCAGGAGACGGCCCAGCTAGGGTGTTCAACAGCACATGTACCAGAATCTCCCCGGTGGCCTGGCCTCATGCGGACCCTGGCCTACCCGACTGCTGCATCAGAATGGGTGGGGGGCTGCCCGGGAGGTGCCAAGACAGCTCTGGGCAGGCAGCGCTGAGCAGGCCTGGTGCTCCAAAAGAAGACCATGAAACAAGGTACACACTTCCCGTGGCTGTGTGTGGCACCTAGAGCTCCTGTCTGGCCACCTAAGCACTTGCAAATGCAGAAGGAGCATGTACAGGTTCCTACAGGATCGTTGAAGAGTGAAAACTAAACCACACCAGCGTCCACCAACAGGTGACCACATCAGTGAGCCCTGGAGCCTGGGATGTATATTGTAAATACTTTCTCAAAGTACAGATTAGCACAAGTTTCCTAGATGGTCATCTCTTCCCTCTCCAACTTTCATTGAACTGTCCGAAAAATATAAAATTGCAAATGCATTTACATCAGCAGCAGAAACAGGGAAGGGTGGCATCTGGCAACCAGAAATCAACCAAAGCATCACTGGAAGCTGTGAAGCCAAACCCCGGCAGCCATGCTCCCCTTCCCTGCAGTGCTGTCCTCCACCACAGCCAGCAGAGCAAACTGTCTGTGAGCCTGGGCTGTGGAAGCCAACGGTGGAGACAGTTTCTGCTGCTCCAGGAGCAGGGGCCCCAGGCTGCAGTGCAAGTCCTTACTGAGCATCCTGCAGGGCCACCTGTCACTGGTGCTGGCCTATGTGCCCATCAGCCTCCTTCACTACACCTAAGGCATGGTGGGGGGCATGTGGTATGTGGTCAGGAAGAATTTGTTGAAACAACAAAGAGCAATCCAGACATGATCCCATCCCAAGGACAGACAAGACGGTAGAAAAATTATTTACCCCTTTCATTAAATTCAGCACGGTGTTAAATGCTGCCAAGGAAATGCACAGGGTGCTTTGAGAACACAGAACAGGACACTGACTTGGGCTGGTGCTTCTCAGAGGACTCAATAAACTGGTGAGTGGGGAGAATTCCAGACAGAGGGAACCACTTGCTCAAGGCCCTGATGGAGGGAGGAGTGTGGTTTGTTCAGGAAACACAGAGATCCCTGAGCAGCTGATGGTTGGTAAGCCCATCGCAGGCCTTGTAAAAAAAAAGGCTGGTCTGAATGGAGGGAAGCTCTAGTTTAATGGAGGAATCTGGGGGCTTCAGCTCTGATCATCCCCTCATCCTGGCAGCCCCAACACAGGCACATGGCAGTGAGCACCACCAGACAGGCCTGCCTTACCTGCCACTTGACCTCCTCCCTTGAGAACCCGTCTGGGGGTCCATCAGGACTGTCCCGGGAGTTCTCAGCTCCATCTTGCTCCAGAACTGGCAGCAGATACTGAGAAGGGGGATAATATTCCAGCCCCGACTCTGCAAGAGATGGGACACAAGCTGGCAGGGGGACCTGAAGTTGTCTGTTCCCAAATCCCTTGCTCCCCTCTTCTCTCTTTCCTTCCCCGCAGCCCACGCTGCCAGGCTCAGTCCAAACTGCTCTCGTTCTCCCTGGATGGGGTCCCCCTACCTTGTCCACTAGTCCTAGCCTCCAGGCCTGGGATGGGGCAAGTGCTTAGTGTCAGCTGAGTGAGTAAATGGGCAAGTCATCTGCCTCTCCATCCAAGTGAGAACAAAGTGGTAGAAAAGCCCAAGAGCAGCACAGAAACTGGGTCCAGAATGCAGCTTTACTAATAACTTCCTGTGTGTGCAAGATCTTGGGAAAGTCTCCTTCCTTCTCTGGCCCTTCTGTATAGATAGCTTCCTTCTGTATAATGTGAAAGGGGTCATATCCTATACTCATTTTCCATTGTATTGCTTGCCTTTTTCTTGCTGATTTCCAGGAACTCTTTACGTATTACGGGTCTATAATATATATTGCACCTATTCTGGTTGCAACACCTGGTCTTTTTAACTTGGATGCTGGTGTCCATCTGAGACCAAAAAAATAGAAAAAAATTGTTTTTACTTTTTATTTATTTATGTTGCAGTATTAGGGCTTGAACTCAGAGGAGTTCGACCACTGAGCTATACCTCCAGCCTTTTTTTATTACTTTTATTTGAGTCAGGGTCTTGCTGGGGCAGCCTTCACCTTGCAATTCTACTGCCTCAGCCTTCCAGGTTGCTGGGATTACAGAGCTGTGCCATTGTGCTCGGCTTGAGAAAAGCAAATTTCACATATTGGTGTAATCAGAATTATCCCCTCTCTTGGAAGGACACAAATAGGTAGTTGACAAGAAATACCAAAATAGGCAGACATACAAATATTCAAATAACCAAGGAAGTGACATGAAAATAACAATGAGCTCTGCTGTTTATCCACCTGATTAGCAGGCTTTGCCTTTCCTTCCCTTCTTCCTTTCTCTTTCCCTCTTCCTCTCTTTCTTTCCTTCTTTCTTTGTGAGCTGGGGATGAAACCCAGGGCTCACCTGCCGGGCAAGGCCCTCACCACTGAGCTGTGCCTAGCCCAGGGTTCACTGTCCCCACAACTGTTCCAGAGTCACTCAGGTATTAAAAAGACCATCCAATCCCACTGCTCTGCAAGGGCACCTTCATCAGATGTCAGATGACCCATGTGTGAGTCTCAGTTGTGCTCTGAAAGGCCCACAGTGACAGGGCCAACGGGGGACGTCCACCTTGGGAGCGCAGGCGTTCCAAGGTTTAGCTCCTCTGCGGCCCTGTCCTTCCACCAAGTCCAGCCCACCACCCTCTCTCCCCTGGATGACCTCCATGGCCTCCTCACTGGTCCCCCATTCATTCTTGCCCCCTCTAATCCCTTCTCACTGTAGCCTGAGTCATCTTTGTAAAAATCGAATCTGACCTTGTGAAATCCAGTCTCCTTTGGACACTGGCCAGGCCCCTCCATCCCCCTCCCCACCTCTCCTCCCTGGGCTCCAGCCCCACAGGCCTCCTCACACCTCAGGCTCGCCCACCGCCCACCCCTTGAGAGCCTTCCACAGGCTCCTCCTTCTGCCAGGCCCCTCACTAGTCCCAACCTAACCCAGGGGCACCCCTGAGCCAGCCCGTGATCACAGACCCTGAGCTCCCAGCAGGCAGGGACAGTGACACCATCCCCCACCCCGGGGCTGGCGCAGGGTGGCTGCTGGTGACAGATGGCCTGAGTTTACCTTTGCAGAGGAACTGCTGAATGGCAGTGGTGCCGGCACCACACACCTCCGGTGGGGGGTGGATCATGGACGAAGCATCGAGACTCAGCGTCTGCAGACACAAGGGCCTGTCATTACTGTGTGCCTCACCTGCCACCCAGCAGGAGTGGAAGCCACCTGCCCCCTCTGCCTAGGTGTGCCAGGAGCCCTTCCAACACCTGGGTGGTGCTGGCACACAGCAAGCTCTCTTGCTCTCTTAGGGACAAATACATAAGTGAGTGACCAAAAGGAACTTATAGGATGGGCAAGAATGCGATTCCAACTCTGTTAAAAATTATACTATACCTCTCACATTAGTATGGGATAGAAGCCATGGGTGGAAGGTCTGTCTCAAACTCAAAGTGGTTTCCTCTAACAGGGGGATTATGGGATACTGCCTATGTGAAATCCTTTTTTTTTTAATTGGTACCAGGGATTGAACCCAGGGGTGCTTAAGCACTGAGCCACATCCTCAGCCCTTTTTGTTTTTTATTTTGAGTCAGGGTCTTGCTAGGTTGCTCAGGACCTCACTAAATTGCTGAGGTGTGCTTTGAACTTGCGATCCCCTGCCTCAGCCACTGGGATTACAGGTGTGTGCCACCATGCGTAGTTGTGAAATCTTTTTAATATTTATTATTTATATATATATATTAACAATATATACATGACTTTTAAAATGAGAAGCTCCAAAGCTTCTTTTTAAAGGATTGGGCCCACGGGGCCTTCCTCCTAGAGCTGCTTCTGCAGTGCTCCACCCTGAGCCGCACCCCAGGCCCAGAGAGCTCCCCACAGGTCTGAGGATATTTGTGCTTTCCAAATCCAGCCACCAGGTAGGAGGGCACCAGCTACCCAGGGGGGCCACTTCCTTTTGCACCCTCTGAGCTACCTGCCCCCCCAACGGACAGTTTGGCTTGAGGGAGATGACTGACTAACAGAATCAGGGGATTCTGGGATGCTCAGCATGACTGTCCTCACTGTGAGTGGATTGGTCACCCACACACAGAGCTGCATGAAGGTGAGGAACACAGGCATCAGATTCAGGCAGCCTATGTTCCACCTTGCCATGGCTAACTGCGAGACTCCAGGGCAAGTCACACACACAGTGACTGCCTCTGTACATGCCCCAGCTTCTTCATCTTCAAGGTGCCACAACAGTATTTGCTTCAAAAAAATTCTGTGAGCCCTTTCCGGACTAGGCCGAGCTCTAGGCACCATCATGGGAGTCAACATACGCCACAACAAGGACCGAAAGGTTTGGCGCAAGGAGCCCAAGAGCCAGGACATCTACCTAAGGCTGTTGGTCAAGTTGTATCGTTTCTGGCTAGATGAACCAATTCTACCTTCAACCAAGTTGTACTGAAGAAGTTGTTCATGAGTCGCATCAATAGACCCCTCTCTCCCTCTCCCGGATGATCCGGAGAGATCATCTTGGCTTCCTGGCCGAGAAAACAAAACAGCTGTGGTCGTGGGGACCATAACAGATGACGTCCGTGTTCAGGAGGTGCCCAAACTGAAGGTGTGCACACTGCGCGTGAGCAGCTGAGCCCGCAGCCGCATCCTTAAGGCTGGGGGCAAGATCCTCACCTTTGACCAACTGGCCCTGGACTGCCCCAAGGGCCGTGGCACAGTCCTGCTCTCTGGTCCTCGCAAGGGCCCTGGTCCTCGCAAGGGCCGAGAGGTGTACAGGCATTTTGGCAAGGCTCCTGGGACCCCACAGCCACACCAAACCCTATGTCCGCTCCAAGGGCAGGAAATTCGAGCGTGCCAGAGGCCAGAGGGCCAGCCGAGGCTACAAAAACTAACCCTGGATTTATTGTTAATAAAAAGCTTTGAATTTGGAAAAAAAAAATTCTGTGAGGATTCAGAGCTAACACAGGTCAAGTGACTAGCTCTAGAAAGCTCCAGGTGAATGGAGCCATCTTGTCAGACCACAAGAGCTCACCTTCGGAGTGGGCTCCTTGAGTTGGTGTCTGTTGTGGGCTGAACTATGTCCCTCAACTCACACGTATGCCAGTTGAGGTCCCTACCCCTGTACCTCAGAATGTGGCTCTGGAGAAAGGCTGGACCCGGATCCAACATGACTAGAGGAAATTTGGATACAGACAAGCAAAGAAGGAAGGTGACATGAAGTCACGGGAAGGAGAGGCCCCAGACAAGCCAGGAGGAGAGGCTGAGGGGGAGCCAGCCCTGTAAACACTGACCTCGGGCTTGCAGCCTCTGGATGGGGAGAACACAGATTTCTCCATTTCAGCTCCCAGTCCATGGTTCTTTGTCATGCCAGCCTGAGCTGACTCACTCGGGGTCCCAGGAGGCCCCTGCCTTCCCCTGCCACCCGACATTCCAATGAGGTTTGGTTTCTGCCCAGCCATGCTTAGCCCAGACCCAACCCACCCCTACTGCCCCTGCCTTCCCTCCCAGCTTCCTGATGACTGGGGTCCCAGGTCCAGCAACTCCCGACCACTTGGCCCCTCCTCCCTTCCCTTGTGCTTCCCACCTCCTGCCTCTCCTGCCCTGCCCCTCTGCCAAATGTTCCTGTTATCCACGTCTACATCACAAAATCTCATTCCTCTCCAAGGTCTAGTTTGAATGCCATGGATTTCCTAAAGTGTAGCCCCTCCAGGTTCAGCGTTCCTTCTTCTCTACTCTAGACGGCTTTCCTGCCTCCATGATGGTAGCAAAAATCACACTGTTACAAATGCCCACATATCACTGGCTCTGTAAGCTCCTAAGGACCATGGCTGGGGGCCTCTGGGACCAGGCACCTTGTGACCAGAACAGACCCTTGGGAATGGGGGCAGGCAGAATGGGGCATGCTGAGGGGACCCCACGTGAGAATGGCTCCCCACTTACCTCCAGGGTTCGGACATGAGCCAGCATCTGTGGCAATTTCTGAATCTCGTTTTCACTGATGTCAAGAGTACGCAGGCTTCGAAGCTCCCCCACGGTGTCCGGCAGCTCCTTCAGCTTGTTGTCTAGAGAGACCCCAGTGGCAGAGCTCAGCACCCCAAAGTCCTGCCTGACACTGCAGGTCTCAGTGAGGGTAGGGATGGAGAGGTTCTGCCACCACTGACTAGCTCAGTGGAAAACTAACTACCTCTCCGGGCCTCATCTGTGAGACAGGGACGAGGACACTATCTGGCCTTGCAGGAGTCCAGAGGGATTCAATGAGATGAAGCCTGTGAGGTCCTGGGCCCAGTGCCTGTCCCATGGTTAGTGATCACAGCTGGGGCACCATTATCTTCAATCGCTGTCGGACACCACCGTTGGATAGGCTGAGGCTTCTGTGCAGAGTGCTGGGGAGGAAGTGGAGGAGCTGGGGTGGGGCAGGGCTGGAGCTGGACCGCATCAGAGTCTTGGCTCACTGTCACCTCACTGGGTGCTCTTGGGCACATCACTGTTCTCTGAGTGGCACTTTCCTCATCTGTAGGCTGCGGACAACTCTGCTGCCCTCTGACTCCTCAGGGACCGTCAGGAGACCACACTATTCAGTGGGTGTGACACGCCACTCAGAACCACTGTCATGGCGCCTCCATCCCCCTCAGCCAGGCAGTCCTCTCTCTTCCCACCACTCCTCATTATACACACGAAGGACCAAGTCTCAGTGTAGCTGTCACTACTGTCTGACTCTGAGGAGTCACAGGAACCCTCCAGACACATTCTCTCTGGTTACTATAGGGACACACAGACCTAGCAGGAGCTCAGTCCAGTTTAAGTGTCATCTTCATGTTCAGTGGCTCCAGCCAGAGCCCCCTGTGGATTCTGACTGGGCTGACCCACAGCTGACCGAGGGTCACATAGACAAGCCTTCCTGGTCCCCTACCTTTCACATTGAGGGTCTGGAGCTGGATCAGGTTCCCAATGGAGCGTGGGAGATAAGTCAATTGATTCCTTTCCACATTTAATACCTAAGAAAGAGAAAGAAATAACATGAGAAGTCACACACACAGTGACTACCTCTGTCCCCTCACCCCTGCTTTGGGCCAGGTGTCCTCTGGGCACTGTAAACACCTGCCTTGACCTGCTTCTGCCTGTCCAGTGAGGAAGGTGTGGATTGTTACGATCCCATTAGAGAGATGGGAAAACTGAGCTCAGAGTGGTGAAGTCAGGTGCCCCAGAAGGAAAGGCCAAGACCAAAACCTGCTCCCAGCTGAGGCTCCATCATTTGTATTAACCAAAAATGCCCAAGCAGGGGGCAGGAAGGAGGGCTATCAGAGTCGGGCTGGGTGAGGCAGCACAGTGTTGAGGAAAGGGAACTGAGCCACAAACGGTGATGTGGTCGGCTGAGGTCTCAAGGCCAGAACTGGTGGTGCTGAGGTTAGAGCTGGGCTTAATGGATTTTTCCAAAGCCTGCTCCCTCCAGGATCCTGTGAGGCAAGGTCAGGAGGCCAACAGGATGCCACACTATGAAGTCATTAAAAATTATGCAATGGAAAGCTAAGTAGCCATTTAAAAGATCGTGGTAGATAAATATTTGATGAATTAAAGGAGGTCTGCATTTTATACTCAGGTACCCAAAAGTTACAAGACAGAAAATGCATAATTCTACAAAAACATACATATTAAAAAAAAAAAAGTTCGGCTGGGGATGTAGCTCAAGCGGTAGTGAGCTCGCCTGGCATGCTTGTGGCCCGGGTTCGATCCTCAGCACCACGTAAAAACAAAGATGTTGTGTCCGCCGAAAACTAAAAAATAAATATTAAAAAATCCTCTCCCTTCCCCTCCCCCTTAAAAAAAAAAAGTCCCAACAATCCCAACCTACACCTACAATCCCAACACCTCAGGAGGCTAAGGCAAGAGGATTTCAAGTTCCAGGCTGGCTTGGCAACTTAGTAAGACCATGCCTCAAGGTAAAAAATAAAAAAGGCTGAAGATGTAGCTCAGTGGTGCAGCACCTCAGGTTCAACCTCCAATTAAAGAAAAAAAAAAAAAAGGAATGCAGGTCCCTTAAGATCCTATGCCAAGTACATACTGTGGATCAAAATGGGGACAATCACTACTGCTCTGCCACATGTTTTCTATGTGACCTTGGGCAAGTTACAGACACAGTCATCTCTCTGGACCTCTGTTTTCTTTTATGTAAAATGTGATGACATCACCCACATGTTGGGGTTGTTCATTGAAACCTTTCCTTGGTGTTTTCCATGTGCCAGGCAGTGAGCTAGGTAAAGGGGCAGCATTCAGAGAAATCACATTCCACAGGTGAGGCCTGAATACATAATTATGATTAGAGACTGCAATTATAGAGTGCCCTTGGGGAGATAAATAGGGTGGGAACAGAGAGGACTGAGGGGATGCACTTAGGAGGCTGGGAGGATTCAGGGACATTTGGGCTAATAGGTGAAGGAAGGCCCCACGGACAGCTCCAGGAAGGACCACTTCAGCAGAAGGAGAGGTTCTGCTGGGGTGGGGACAGAGAATAGAGGGTATTAGGAGGTGATTTCAGCAAGCAAAGGGAGGAAGAGAAGGAGAGGAGACTAGAAGGACAGCTGGGTCCCATAGCATGGGTCTTCTTTCTGTAGTGCTGGAGATGGAACCCAGGGCCTTGCACCTGCTAAGCAGGAGCTCTACCACTGAACTGCACTTCCAGCCTATTTGGGATCTTCTGGTGTGGTAAAGAGAGATTTTCAGCTTCAGTGCAATGGAAGCCACTTCTTCCTGTGTAGAGCGGGGGCAACACTAACACTGGCAGGTAATGCCAGGGGCGGAGTTATCTCAGCACTGGCACAGAGTGCGTGCGTGCTCGATCAGTGCAGGGCTGCTACTGCCAAGGCAGCGGTGGGACGTGAGTTAAGAGTGCACAGCCATTGCTCTTCAGATGTAGACTGTGCTTTTTTTTCTGAAAAGCTGTGGAAGCTCAAGATGAAGTCCCAAAAAGCAGGTGTCAAAAATAGCCACAGCCCAGACAGCAAGGGTGGCACCAGGACCAAGTGCAGCCTGCTTCTATTGGCAAGAGCACACCCAGAACATTCCACCATGGGAAGTGGGTTTCTGTTTCCCACAGTCTTACCTGCAGGGCTCCCAGCTGCCCTATGTCCTCAGGAAGGGCTGCCAGCTGATTGTTGTGGAGATCCAGAACCTGAAGAGGAAGACACCTCTCAGACATCCACTGAGAAAGCCCCAGGATTCCAGGCTCAGAGCAGCTAGATGACAGGGGCCACTCAAGCCTCTGGTGTTGCAGCCACCAGCACCCGACCCTCTCTGCCCCACTCAACATCCAGCAATACTATCTCATTCCCTTTTTCAAACAATTATGCCATTTCCTTCTTTTATTTATCAAGTTTTTATTTTTATTGATAAGCCAAAAAATATGATATAAAACAGTATGTGTATCTGTAGGCTAAAAAGTAAAAACATTCCATAGCATCAAAAATATTCACACAGGAAAAAACCCTACCAAATATGCAATAAAATAGTGATAATGGTTCTCCAGAGTGCAAAACTGTATGTTTTCTTCCATTTTCTTTATTTATTTTTGTGGTGCTGGGGATTGAACCCTGGGCCTGGGTATGTTAGGCAAGCCCTCTACCACAAATGACATCCCTTGCTCCAACTTTTCTTTGCTTAACTGCTATTTGCTAATTTTTTTAAGTACTGGGGATTGAACTCAGGAGTGCTCTACCTTGGAACTGCATCCCCAGCCCTTTTTATTTTATTTTTGTTATTTTTTGTTTTCGTGGGGATTGAACTCAAGGTCTTGTGCATGGGAAGCAAGCACTCCACCCACTGTGCTATATCCCTAGTCCTTTATTTTATTTTTAAGAGAAGGTCTTGCTAAAGTGCCTAGGCTGGCCTTAAACTTGTGATCCTTCTGCCTGAATCTCTTGAGTTGCTAGGATTATAGGCATGTACCTCTGTGCCTGGCCTACTAATTTTTTTTAATGATTAAAATGAGCAAAAAAGGCAAAGAATAAATATATACAAGCACACACATGTGCAGATAAAATATGCATATATATACTACAAATAGAAATATTAAAACATATTTTAAATGTCTCTCTCTCTCTCTTTTTTTTTTTTTTTTTGCTCTCCTGGGGATTGAACTTAGGGGCACACTACCATTGAGCTACATCCCAATCCCTTTTTAAAAAATATTTATTTCATTCATTTATTTATATGTGGTGCTGAGAATTGAACCCAATGCCTCACACATGCCAGGCAAGTGCTCTACCATTGAGCCACAACCCCAGCCCTCCCTTTTTACTTTTTATTTTGAGACAGGGGCTTACTAATTTGCCCAAACTGGTCTTGAACTTTCGATCTTCCTGCCTCAACCTCCTGAGTTGCTGGAATCACATTTAATCACCAGGATTAAATGTTCTCTTTTTTTTTCTGAATACAAAATAATTCATCATCTGGGGAAGAAGCTGAGCAGAAGAGCACATGATTGACCTTGGGTTTAATCCCCAGCTCCATAAAATACACACACACACACACACACACATACACACACACACACAAACAACAACAACAACAACAAAAAAACCATGCTGGATCAAGATAAAAAAGAAGTGTAAAAACTATCCCCAATCTGCAACCCAGAGTTGACCGTGAAGAACACTTGATGTCTAAGATGCCAGTCTTTTCTCTCAGTGTGTACACTAACTCTCACAAGTTCACATTCATGCAGAACAATCCTGGGTGATATCTTGCATATGCTATGATGACACCCCAGCCCCTGTCCAGGAGGGGCTGACAGTTAGAAGGGATTTTCACATGTTGATCATACAATACCCTGGATGTCCCTCCATCTTATTTGAGGCCATCTGTTTCCACACTGTCTGCTATTTTACTTGCAACAAATCTAGGATTTAGTTTTTTACTTAGCATGTAAATCACCTAGTTTGACTATCTTTGTCACTCTACCCCCTGGACAGCACACAGAAGTGCCCAGTAAAGCAGGCTGATCAAATCCCAGATTGACCATTTATTATATTAGGACCTTCTGGAGCCAGGGGTGGTGGTGCATGTCTGTAATCCCAGTGACTCAGGAGCCGGAGGCAAGAGGATTGCAAGTTCAAGAACAGCCTCAGCAACTTAGCAAGACCCTGTCTCAAAACAAAATAAAAAGGGCTGGGGATGTAGCTCAGTGGTAGAGTGCCCCTGGGGGTTCAATCCCCAGTACCACCAAAACAACAATAGTAACAAAAATATATAGCATAACCTTTAACAGAAATCCAACTGCTACCTGGAACACAATATAGAGTCTATGACACTGGAGGGGGCCCCAGTACCTTGATGGTTGCGAGGCTCAGGAGGCTGCAGGATTTGGGAAGCAGGGAAGTGAGGTGGTTCGTGTGAACAATCAACACCTGTGAGGCAAAGAGTGGAGGAAGAGTCAGGCAGGAAAGAGCAGCAGGGGAAAGCCAAAGGCAAGTGGAGTGTGGCACAAGATGCCCAGCAGCCCTGCTGTCCCCTGGGTATCTCTACTTGCCCAGACATGCAATGGGGATGCTGTTAGTGTCATGGGACTTCTGAATGTGGAATCATATGGCGTTAAGATCTGGAATTTAGAGATCTAATTCTGAGAAGGGATCAGTTGTCCTGATTTTAACCTTTCTCAGCTTCAGTGTCTTCCTGGAAAACAGAGAATAATAAAGTACTTTCCTCGGAGGGCTGCTGTGATGATAAAAAGTCCTCAGCCCAGGATGGGCACCTAGTGAGTGTGTGGCCTGTCATATGTTGCTATTTGTGTCGGGTGTTGACTTCTGGTTGAATACTTCCAGGGACAAGGAGCTCATGACGCTCCTGAGAGGGAACACTTTTTACTTAGTTCATTTAGATACGTCACTTAGAGATGTGCCCCCTGCACCCAAATTTGCTAAAGCTGCACTGCACTTCTGAAAAATCATTCATTCCCCTCCTAAACTCCCTTGTATGGCCAGAGCAAAATGGGTACAGTTTCTGTTGTTATTATCACTGGGGTTAATAAGTGTTTAGTATGTGAAAGGAATTATATCCCTCTACCTACTATTCCTTCAGTTCTTACAATATCTCTGGGAGAGTAGAACTATGAATTCCACAAATCATTTCACAGATGAAGAAGTTGAGATGTAAGAGTTTAAGGAAGTTACAAAAGTCATAGAGCTAGTGAAGGCAGAGCCACGAGACCCCCAGGGCTATCCAACCCCGAAGCCTCTGTCCTAACTGTGACCCCTGCTGCAGACCAACAGGGTAAGAGCCTGAGAGAAGGTATCTTCGGCACCTGTCTGGGTGAGGAAGATAGCACCTAAAATCCCACATGCTTTCAGACAAGCAAACATGTAGTAAGCAATTCTCTGAAAATAAAGAATCAGCTCACCTTCTTCTGTAGAACTTTGCATGTTGCAAAAGCCCCAAATGGGATCTAAGACAAGATAAAGAAGAGTAAGAGCCTCCCCTTCTGCCAAGTTTTCATTTGTTCTCTGTAGGGCATTGACTTGAGGGAGAGGCAGGCAGAGGGGAGCAAGACAAAATCTGCTGAGAAGAGCAGTCCACCAGGCGAGGGCTGGGGAAGAAGAATGCTGGGGACGAGGTCAGTCCTGCCCCAATCAGTGGGCAGGAGGGGCCTTGTCCTATCTTGCCCATCCAGTTCCCATCAGGAACCCTGACTTTTTTTTTTTGAAGAATCCTGAATTTTCCAACATTTGAGGACTCTGTGGGTACATTTTCTAACTAGAGTTCTTGACTGTTATGTCCAAAGGATCATCTCAATTCTTTTGGACAAGAATAGAATCTAAGGAAAGATCTCTTGACTAGTACTTCTGTTTTTGTTTGTTTGTTTGTTTTGTTTTTGTTTTTAAGCCCTCTTCCAAATCTGTCTTTCCTGGGGAACATGCAATAAAAGAACACAGGATAAATCAAATCCACATCCCTTACACTACCCTCAGTTTACCTCTGAGAGCTCACATTTAGAGATGTCAAGAATGTCATCTGCCCCAGCTTCTTTGGCCTAAGAAAAAAAAAATTTTTAAAAGAATTTTTTTAAAAGCATGCAAACAAAACACTCTTATGGAGTGGACAAATCAGGCAAAGAAACATAGAATTAAGGAGCTGCAAGGGACACAGCACAGTCTGATTCCACCAGTCCATCCTGTGTGTGATCTCTGCTTCCCCAGAGTTTGAGGTCCAGCAGGGAAGAGAATTCAACAAGGAATGAGTATGCTCAGTCCAAGGGGAAGTGCAGGGGTTGGTAGGGGAAGATGGGAGGTGGCTTGGGGCAGACAAAGCCCTATTCCACTGGGCAGAGGAGGAGCTGAGAAGGAGTTGGAGGAAACCCGCTTTCCCTCACCAGGCACATCTGGTACTCTAGGCGTTTCCTCGCTTCCTCGCTGGGTTTCCGCTTCCGGAAGAAGAGTGGCATCTTTCCTTTTTCCCAGGGAAATCTTTAGGACACTGGTCGTAGAAGACAAGTCAGGGCCTGGGGAATTCGTTACAGCGCCTGACTCTCAGGCCAGGTGGCATAGTAACAGAGCTTGCAGTTGGCTGCTGGACTGTAAGCTCTACGCAGGGAGGGCTGTGTTTCCCTTAGTCATCAGTACTCTGAGCCTACACAGTACAGCTCAATACTTTGGATGAAAAAATAAGGAGCAGGATGGGGTGAAAAGAGCACAAAGGCAGGCCAGGTCTCCTGGGTTCAGGCCTCCATTTGCCACTGACCCACTGTGAGATGTTGGTCCTTCTCCATTCTGGATCCCCTCTCCCCTCTGCCTTAGGGGAGTTTCCTCAGGTTCCTCTAGGCCTCAGAGTAGCATCAGCAACACCCAAATAAATCAGCCATGACTTGGGGAGCTCAACTACATCATCACCAAAGAGATCTGTGAGTTAAGTAAAAGTTAAAAAGCAATCCTCAGAGCTGGGCATGGTGGCACACACCTGTATTCCCAGCAACTCAGGAGTCTGAGGTAGGAGAATTGCAAGTTCAAGGCCTGCTTGGACAACTCAGCAAGACTCTGTCTCAAAATAAAAACTAAAAAGGGCTGGGAATGTATCTCAGTGGTAGAGCACCTCTAGGGTTCAATCCTCTCAGTAACAAAAAGTTAAAAAAAAAAAAAACAAACCACACACACACAAAAAAAAAATCCAACAATCCTCACGCACCTTACCACCTTCAAGGTTGTGACAGTTGTTCTATTTGATTCTCATCCCAGCACTATTTATGGTGTGGAAACCAATGCTCACTAAGTGCAGTGATCTGGTTATTCAGCCTGACTGCAGCAAACCCAGCCTTGAAACCTGCTCCTATCTGCGAATTATCAATGTTGGATAAGTGACAGCAAGGCCTAGGAAACAATCGCCCAGGGAACTGGATGGTTCACATCACGGCCTTTGAGATGAAATATTACTGGGTTTGAGTCCAAGATCAAACCACCCACCAACTGTGTCAATTTGGTTCACCTCTCGGAGTCTCAGTGTCCTTATGTGTAAAGTGTGAGTAATAATGTTATTAACATGGGGGGGGGGCTGTGAGGACCCAATGATTAATGTATGTGATGCCCACAGCACAGTACCCGGCAGTATAATCGCTCCCTAAGTGGACTCTACAAAGCACTGTATGGGTGACACTGAATAAGGGACTACTCCAAGAGCTAGGAAGAAGGGAAACAGTGCAACCAAAGAAGACACAACCGGTCCTCAGAGGGAGGATTCCATCCCTGGGCGTGGGCTGTCAGAAGTGGCTCTGCCAGGCCTGCAGAGCCAGCTCAGAGCCCTCTTGTCACTCACCTGCCTGTAGAAATGAAAATTGATCTAAAAACAGCCCTTCTCCAATCCTCCCAAATGACCAGCACTTCCTCTTTTGCTCCCTGATGACCGGCTATCCCTCACCCTCTAGAGGATGTCCAGCCCTCCTGACCTCCTTCCCAATGCCATATGGCTCCCCAATCCATCCCAAATCAACTCCTTTCAATCTGCTTCTGATGTCTATCCTCCCCGAAGTCCGGTCCAGATGGGGAGAACCACACCCATCCTTCCCTGGCTGGACTGGGACTGGCTAACCTGGCTTTGTGGATGGAGAAATCCCCAAAGGTCCCTTGGGAGGACCCGAAGGCAGGCGGTTCACTCAAAACGCTTGGTCATGGACGCGAGGTCGCAGACCACCCAGCACGGAGCTGGTGGTCTTCTGCAAACACAGGAACTGGGGACCGAAACTCGGAACCTCAGAAAGTCATGCAGACTAGGATGACGAAGTCTGAGACTCAACCGCAGAGTCTCAGAAAGAGTCAGACTGGATTTAGACCCGCATAGACTGGATTACTAAAATGCAAACACTATGAAGGGGCTAGAAAGGGTCTGGGATCGCCGTGGTACTGGGGTCCGGGAATGGGGGTGAGGACACCTCACGGGAGAGGCGGGACTCTGGGATTGGGTGACAGGGACCCAGGAATGACCCTCATGACAGGGAAACATGGGAGCGGCAGGACCCAAGATCTCAGGAACAGCCCTCTCTTCTCTGACACCCTGGGCTAAGTGGCCCGAACCCCCTTTCCGAATCCCTAGCCCAGCTCACCGCGGGTACCCGGCCCTCCAGCCGTCAGTCTTAGGCACCTGCCCACAAGCAACAAGGCGGCAAGGGCGTCACTCAGAGACTGGGCGGAGCCGTAAGTTCTCGCGAGAGCCGCGTTTTCCTGCCTATATCCGGCGTGGCAGCAGCGTTTCCGGCCTTTTGGCTCGGAGGAGGTTAAGGTGCAACTCTCTTCGGTCGTCCCGAATCCGGGTTCATCCGACACCAGCCGCCTCCACCATGCCGCCCAAGTTCGACCCCAATGAAATCAAAGTCG